TAAACACTATTATTAATCTTTTGAAACTTCATCATCACTATAATTAATTACTTTTCTTCATAAGTATACTTTTCTTGCGTAACAAAAATATCAAGTTTTTTCTTCTTTATAAGAATTTTATTTTTAAATTTTGCAATCTAACTATTTTTTACTTTAATGTGAGAAACATTGCTGTTAAAACTCATGAATTTCTAATTCAAATTATAGAATCACAAGTTATATAAGTATAAAAAATATTCTATTATCAATATATATATAGTTTAAAAATATCAACGCATATAATATAAATCAAATCATTATAAAGTCCAAATTAACCCATTTTTTAAAAATTTAATTGGATAAATTATTATCTAAAACTAAATTACTTTTAAAATGATAATAATAACTAAATATTTGAAATATTATTAACAATGTAAAAAAATTAATAACATTAATATATATAAAAAATTTTAAAAATAAAAAAAATATAAAAGGGCTTAAAAGGGCCGGCCCGTGGCCCTCCAGGGCCGGCCTTTTAAGCCCTCGGCCCTTTTAAGCCCTCGGCCCTCCAGGGCTTATGTTTCATTTTAAGAGAAAAATATCAAACCCGACCCTCATAATTTCAGGGCCTAAAAGGGCCGGCCCGACGGGCTCGGCCCGTTTTTCCGGCTCTACTATTGTCACCGCGGAAAGAATTCAGTCACATTGAATGACCTTTCTTCATGGGCAAGACTTTTCCAGACACACACATATATATGGTGGGCACAAAAGGGAGTCAAATATTGAAAGCCATTCGAAACGAGCTTGATAAAGTAAATGAAAGTGGGTCCACTTCAGAACAAGAAAAGTAGGCGGCTGAGTGAAAAAAACAGAACCAGTCAGATCATGCTACTCACAGACACCACCTCCGGTGCTTGTGGATTTGAATTACAAACTATAACTTATATTAAGAATCAAAGGAGCATTAAATAACTGTTTAGTGCTTCATTAAATCATGATGTTCATTAATCTGGATTAATAACTAAGTATAGATTGAGAAACCGACCTCTTTCCACACGAATGACAAATGGCTCATTCCACATCTTTCATTATATTTTTACTGCTAGAAACCGATCAAATTACATTTGCTGCTACCGAAGTTTACTGACTTTGAATCTTGTTCAGTGCTTCATTAAATCACGATGTTCGACCATGATATTACATCCGAATCAGGAAATCTCAGGTTTAGTATTCTGTAAAAATATCATATGATACATACATCATATTAAATACTTCCATTGCCAGTACCAAATACCTATGGAAAGGAATCAAACTGACCCCCAAACACACCCCCCCCCCCAAAAAAAAGGAAAAAAAGAAAAAGAAAAAGGAGACATCGCAAGAAAGGCAGAAAATTTAGCAAAAAGAGCAAAAATGATAAGAAAGAGAGCTTCACTTGTGCTTCAACAGCATAGGACTCTGTCTCTGGATGTTTCCAAACTCTGTATTCAGGTTTTACCTGCTTGAAGAAGAGGTAGGATGCTGTAAATGGAATGAACAAGGAGAATAATATACATAATGAGTGCAATGAAACCAGAGGCTAACGCTCCTGTCACTTGATGACAATATTTGGGTACTTGACCACATACTGGCACCCAACCAGTATATCTATTTCCCTTCTTGCCCACATAAGCCATAGCCAATGCGGCGGATATGCTTGAGGTGAGTAATATTGTGAACACCTGTTCAAAACATCAACCCATTAGTTTAGCTCTAATGCAATTTCCACTTTAAGCCTCTTGAAAAAAATCTATAATTTATCAACTAGCCATGTGTAATATATATATATGTATATATGTATATAAGCTCATAAAACTGCACAGAAAAACATGGTGGTACAGATACTGTGTGGTCAAGGTAGTTACCAAATCAAAGAAAATGACGAATTGCCAAAGAAAAACTTCCTGAGGGAAGAAAGAGGACGAGGAATCCGTAGACGGCCACTACAGAGTTGGCAATTACAAAGTACCTAGAAAAAGTGTTGGTATATAAGAACTACATAATCAGCTTATGAATGAAGGAAACGATTCTGCAGAACAATCAAAGAATCAAGTGACAGTGATAGACACTTACTTGAAGGCAGAGGAGTGGGTGTACTTTGCTTCCAAGGATACCGTGAAGAAGCTAAATGTTTCGTGGCTAGTGGCCATGACAATGACGGAAGAAAGGGTCGCCCCAAAGGCCAGGACCCTTAATAGAAGGTAGCAGAACCTCGTGGTTTTGGCCATGGACTGTGCAATGAATTGTGGCTTCAGGGGATGACTTAGTTTAATCGATGAGATTTCAAAGAATATGAGTGACAGAAAATTAAAGGATGATAGGAACGAGTAATTAAGCTGAAGGAGAATAATGGTCGTGGACTGACTACATACTTCTTCACTTCGTTGTGGTGATGTTAGGTGAACTATTCATCTATGTCACCGTCCATGGAAGCTTTTTCTACTTTAGCTGCTGTGTGCTTGTGTAGAGCTTCGGTGTAGTGTCTTTAGGCCATTCTTTATTCTGATCAATTTTTCTAGATATTGGTCATCTACAAGAGTGAGAAAAGGTTACAGTAGTTTGCATGTCGCTCTCAGCTGCAGTCATCCTACGTTAGTCAGCGTTTTCTTTTCCTATTTGTTTTTGGCACATAATTGTCATTTTTTTAATATCCTGGGAAAAAACAGCATGCTTATTGCCAATCCATATGCGTGTTTCATTTTCTTTATATCTTAATACGCCATTATGCTGGAAAAAAAACAGCGTGCATATTGCCAACCTATATGCGTGTTTTTGGCCATGTGTCTCTTTGTCATGCTGTGCTTTGGTCAGCAGCCAAAAAACATAGCCCACTTCCCTCCTCTCCCCTGCTGTAAAATATGATTATTGAGTCAATACTGAATGTTTCTGGGTAAACCGAAGTTCTTACATGTGCAGAGTCTAAGCAAATTACAGTGATCTTTTCCAACCCAAGAGGCACGTAATTACGGAGTTTAAAAGTTTCATGTTTGTCAGCCATGTCTTCTGAGAGAAAATCAGTTTTTACACGCAAAAAAAAAAAAAACATTATGTCATTATTTTGTTGGTGAATATGTCAGACTCCTATCTTTTTTGTTTGACTTTTGCCTCTGTTATGTTTGGTTTTTGTAAAATGGATGAAATGTGTGAGAAAAGTTTTTAGGTTTAAAGAGGAAAAGTGACGCTTGCTTGTATAAAACGATAATTTATTTATAAATAGTAAAGCATGAACGAGCAGTGAATTTATTCCTTCCATTAATATTTGTATCCTTCTTCATTTTTCTTCCACTCCCCAAGCCAAAAAGCAATATTATAGTCGCAATGACTTGTTATGAATCTTATATCAAAGAGTAAGAGAAGTAAAATTTATAAGTTCAAAAAACTCTTTTTCCTAATAAGTTAATTTGTTAGAAAGAAAAATCATTTTGGAGGTACATATACTTTTTTTTTAATTTTTAATTTGTTATATATGTGTTTTCTTCTGTAAATTAAATATTTAATTTTACTCTATTAACATTGTTAATCCTCACACAGATATCAATACTAATAAAGCAAAGTTACAAAAGTTAATATTATTCAAAAAGCAAAATTAAATGATTTAGTTAAAAAAAACACATAAATACCAAATTAAAAATGAAAAGAAGTATAGTTATTTTAGGGTTAATTAATCTGAAGTCCTTATAGTTTTAACCAATTTTGAATTAGGTCCTTATAGTTTTTTTTCTTTTTATCAGGTCCTTATACTTTCATCTATTTTTAATTAGGTCCTCACATTTATTTTTCTTTTTATTAAGTCCTTATAATTTCACTAAAATTTTAATTAGGTCCATCTAGTTTTAATTTTTATTTATTAATTAAATATGAACTTAATTAATAATTAGTACTGAAATATAAAATATTAATAATTATATAATAAAAGATAAGTAATATAATTAATTAATTAAGGAAATTTTTTTAAAACAATTAATTTTTTTTGCTAAAAAAATAAAATTATTATAATAATTCATTATTTTTAGAATATTTGTTTATAAACTAATATTAATATATACATTTTATTTTATAAATAGTACTATTAGAATTTATAAAATAAAGAATAAAAATTCAAGGACTTACTTAAAATAAGGTGATCTTATAAGGACTTGATAAAAAGAAAAATAAATACAGGACCTAATTAAAAACAGGTGAAACTATAAGGATCTGATAAAAAGAAAAAAAATTATAGGGACCTGATTCAAAATTGGTTGAAACTATAAGGACTTGCAGATTAATTATCCCTTATTTTTAATATGGTTTTCTCTTTGTTAGAATAAGCTTTATGTCCTTTTAAATCTGCCTTCGTGATTTTAACAAGAGACATGTTACTCCTCTAGTCTTAAACGTAAGACTCTTATACTAGTGTATATAAAGGTCTTACATTTAGGATCGGAAGAGTATTGTATAGGATGCCCTTGAACAATAGTTTCTCTTCTAAACTAATACCATTCTGCTTCTTATTATAAGTTACTTATATTCCAAACCCGCAAATCAAGAAATATATTAAATTAACTAATTCTTTTTTCATATTTACTCTTATTAAACGTTGAGAAGGGAGAGGAGATGGATTGTATAGGAAATGAAAAGTTGAGAAAGAAATGGAGAGAGATTAATTAATTTTTTATTAAATTAATAGGGGTAAAATTGAAAAAAGATGTTAACTATACTACAAGTGACTTATATTTTGAAACAAACTTTTAGAATATAAATAACTTATAATAAAAAACGGAGTGATATACCATTAGAAGTAAAAAGCAATTAAAGGCATAGAATTTGAAGAAGGAGACCGTTGGGGCTCCTGAAGCTGAACTGCTGAAGGTTTCGGTTGTTCGCGGTTAACCAAAGGAAACTTCTTCTTTTAAAAAAAAAAAAAAAATAGAACAGGTAACCTTTCGAGACATGTCGGGCGTTTGACTTGCCATCACATAAAAGGTCGACGCTACTAGGGTTCGGTGCCGGAAGTTCAGCTCTTATATAGAGGTAAAGGTCCTATTGCTGAATAGATTGTCCCCCGGCTCGTTCGCCGCCAGTCTAGGACTCCGGAGCTCTGAAAAAAGGGTCAACCAGATAAAAAATGGCGGCTTCATGCTCTCTCACCTTCTCATCCAGAACCCCAGCAGTCCTTCCAATGTGTCGATTCGTCAATCCCAAAAGCAGGCCATCCAACGTTGATGGCAGATTCAACTACTTCAAGCCGTCCATTCTGCGCGCGTTCATTCCCTTGGGCAAACGCATAACCCATCGCCAAAGCACAATTCGATGCCTATTCACAGGCATCGTTGAAGAAATGGGCACAATCAAGCAGCTAGGTGTCGCCGATCACGGCGGATTCGACATGAAGATAGGAGCAAAAACCGTTCTCGAAGGCGTAAATCTTGGGGACAGCATCGCTGTCAACGGTACCTGTCTTACAGTGACCAATTTCGATCTCAAGGCTTCCGATTTCATGGTTGGGTTGGCTCCTGAGACGCTTCGGAAAACTTCTTTGGTCGAATTGGAAGCCGGATCGCTCGTCAATTTGGAAAGGGCTGTGACCCCCACCAGCAGAATGGGTGGGCATTTTGTTCAGGGACACGTGGATGGAACAGGGGAGATTGTTTCAATGGATCAAGAGGGAGATTCGCTGTGGGTTAAAGTGAAGACAGCGAAGGATTTGCTGAAATATGTGGTACCTAAAGGTTTTATTGCTGTGGATGGGACTAGTTTGACAGTGGTCGATGTGTTTGATGAAGAAGAGTGTTTCAACTTCATGCTGGTAGCTTACACTCAGCAAAACGTAGTGATCCCGTTGAAGAAAGTTGGACAGAAGGTAAATCTGGAGGTGGATATTCTTGGCAAATATGTGGAGAGACTTCTTAGCAGCGGCTTCGTCGACTCCATAAAAAATTATTGATATGCTGTCAGCTGCTGAATTATAGCTTCGTAGACATGGTCTTCCAGCGATCTATGAGAATATGACAAATCCTTGTGGTCGAAATCTCTTATTTTTATCACGGAAAAAAAACACTCACAGAATATCGTCTCGACTGTAACTAGACTTAGGGTGGATAATTTGAACTTGTTTTACGTCAAACTGTGGTAACATGGGCATTTTGCCGTAGCTGTGAAATTTAAGGTTATGAATAAAGGAGCGTTTCTCTTGAACTGATGAAGTATTTGTACATTTATATCTGTTTTGCCATGGCTATAGATGCCGGGAGAGGAACTTCAATTAGATTCGAAGATATTATTTGGTCTTCTGAAGATATATTGAAGTCTTTGATCACTGACATTTGGGCTTGATGAATCTGATTTCATTGTCAATTCTGCTCAGTTTAATGTAGTGGACTCGCTCACTTTACCTTTTTGGAAAGCAAATAATTAGGACCTATGGTGTCCTTTTCGTATTACACGATCAATTATGGGATTTCAATGTAAAATGCAACTCATTTAGAGGGCAGGATGGGCAGCTTTATTTCTATGGTTGCAACATTTTTCCTTGCATAAATTTTGGAATATTTGTGAAGTATTTTTAGGCAGCTTCTTTTCTGGGTGGGCGTGCCCTGGAAGTTCAATTGGAATATTTGTGGAACATGGTGTCTAATATTTGTGGAACACCATTTGTCCTATCAGCTAACCGTGCAATCAACCAAGGCAGTAACCATCAATCACCCTCTTTTCACGTTCGATGATGCAAACATAAGTCAAAGAATGAATGCAGAGCCATGGGGGTTAAGTCTGGATTGAGATTCTTTGGAATCCTAACAAAGATAATTCATTGTTTATCAGAGATTTCATCTTTTATTTTCTTCGGGGTAAAAAATAATGATAAATAAGCATATGTTATGCCAGCTAGCTGAGGTTCAGTTGTTCAAATCTAGAAGTAAAGCAAGCATGTGATGCAAGTAGTAGTCTTTTCGTCCATATATGTTATGCAGACACCATTTCTGTGGGGAAGTGTATGTTCCAACGGTTTTGAGGGATTTAAGGAACATAAAAATGGCATGTAGTTGAGTTAGTTATTCAAGTGGTTTATCGAATGCTCTAACTCTGGTCTACAAATACTTTGAGCATTACCTACTTTGTACAATCAGAAGAATGGCTCGTATTGTGGGTATTTCAATACTAACATTGGTAGTGGTAAGTGGGTTAGACATAGGTGAGGCATCAGGAAAAGGAGTAGCAGAGGCAATTGATGCGTTAGCGTGTGAGCGTATATTTGAATACTTCACATATTGCATGGAATTTCTGGTGGCGGCTCCAGATCATGAAACTCCTCCGAGAAGATGTTGCACCCACATAGAGAAGCTTAACATACTAGCACATCACAGGACCGGTCCCCGCCGGCTCTGCCAGTGTATTGAGCTCATGGTTAAGGGGGTTGCACCACCTATAGTTTCCGACAGAGTCACTGCTCTCCCCATCATGTGCAATACCCATCTCAGTTTCCCTATTTCCGATAGTATGGATTGCTCCACGTAAGGACCCTTCTTTTTTTTTTTTTTTTTAAATCAAGTTCTGATTTATGTTAACTATTAAGTGCTTGTCGGAAAAAAGAGAGAAGTTTCTCGTTCATAAATGATCAACTAATTGATGCAGCTTCCCTTTTTTGCAGAATTGGTCAAGGCACATGATCTGTACTGTGTGCTGCGGGCTATAATGTAAATTACAGCTATGATACTAAAAGTTGCAATAAGACAATAAAGGTTGTCAAATCCAATTTGGATTAGAATGTCAATTTAAATTGGATTACCAAACTCTACTTCTATATAACCAAACTATTGTCTTGGCAGCAGAATGAGAAGAGTCTCGCTCTGTGTTATATTGTTTTTTTTTTGGTATAAGTAAGGCAAGCGTGAGCTTGTAATTACAGAATCAGAACATTAAAAAAAAATACACGGCCTAAGAAAGCTGCGTTCTGTGACTACTCCCAGAATCTAGCTGCATTCGACAACTAGACACGTGGTAGCCAGATATTTGAGCCTTTGAGGTACAGCTTTTCTGCCGTTATTAGGATAGCAAGTACCTGTTTGATCATTCCATTAAAATTGCAAAAATAAGAATGCTACAGAAACAGAGGAACATTTTCTCTATAGGCAGCATCTTCGCCAATCCCATCATCAGGCAGTCACAGCTCAAGCTTCTTAGGGTCGTAACTGAACCTTTCCACCAAAGTGAGCAGAGGTCGAGTGATACGGTAAACTTAATTAGGATGTTAATGAAAATGCCACCTGCGAATCGGTTTCTTAGTCTTTTAACACGAGATGAGATATGCCGTTTTCTAGACCCACCTGGTGGGTAATAATAGCATTTATTTCACAATCAAGCTCAAAGATAACGCCAGAATTGAGAGAAGGCAAATTCATCTGGCCGAAGAATATGTACCAGGTCTTTTTCATTAAAGTGAAAAAATCCTTAAAGCGTCCTAGGGATCACAATCACAACACACACACAGTGGAGCAGGGCTCTCGAAGGGGTCCATTCACGCGTCTGGAGGGATAAGGAAACCCAACCCTCATATTATGGCACAAGATAACATAGTATTCATGGTACCCTATCTTGGTATTGCACGTTCCATCGTTCTACTGATGCCAGATTCTAACAGTAATATTCCTAACCGTTTGATGGCCGTCCAAGTGTTTGTTTTTCGGCTACATCAACGAAGGCTCAATGAGAGAAAAAGGAGGGGAGGGATTTTAATAATGGGAAGGAGAGGGGAGAAGGATGGAAGGATTTTAATATTACCTTATTTGGATTTATAAAAAGAAAAGGGAGGAAAGGAGTCTTAATATTACCTTCGGTCCTAATTATAAGAGCCAATTGACTAATTTGAGGAAATTAAGGAAGTAAGTTGAGTTAGTTTTTAATCCTAAATAGATGTTGTATTTCCTAATAGTTTTTTATCCTAAATAGATGTTGTCTTTCCTAAAATATCTTTACTAATCAAATATATTAACTAGAACTATTATTGTTAAAAAGACTGCTTTGGAAAAAAAGATATAAATACGAGAGATAAAGTGGATTTGGGTGTTATGTTTAGGATCAAAATAAAAGTCAAATAGGGTTTTATATTAAGGACCGGAGGTAGTGTTACATTGTTTGATTCATGAGGAGAGGGGAGGAAAAAATATTTTTACATGGATAATTTCGTTTTTATTTTATTTAAAATATGGGCATCATGGTCATCACATGACAAAATATGAACATAATGGCCACAACATGTCAAAATATTACTATTTTCCTCCAAATCCTCCCAATTTTGGAGGGGAGTTTAAAATTTTTCCTCCCCTCCTAAAATTTGTATGTTGCCAAATAAGAAGAAATGATTAAACTCCTTCTTCCTCCTTCCTCTTCCTTTCAAATCCCTCCTGCCAAAATAAGGTAAATGAGAAGAGTTGTTTCCAAATTGCATCCGCTGCTGCACCAGCTGGCTCCTGCCGAATATTTCGGACCTGAAAGGAAGCGCCGTAAACTGCAGGGGAAATGCTCTGCATGGCTGGTTAGATCACCACCACGCACGTGTCACTCTCTCATTCCTGGCTTTCCGACATCGTTGGCCCTATCAGATTCACGCCCACCTCCCCCAACTCCACCTCCCGCAAAAAGGGCCACTTAATATTTCTTTATTCGATCACTTCAATGCTTCACAATGGAATTCGTTCGGGTGAATCACATCGCCGAGACAATTACCCAAGTTTAAAGAGTAAATAAATAAGAAAAAACCGCCTTGCAAGGTGCACTTTTTACAGTATTTAATACTCCCATCAATTCGAAATGGAAGATAAATATTGTTAGAGATAAAATAATGTTTATTTTTCCTAAATATTTAATGATTTTTTTAATTTTATTCCTAACATACATTCTTTTTCTCTTTTGATTCATTTATTATATTTTTTACTCGTTTTTTTTATTAATATAGGTATATTTAAAAAAAATACTTTATATATTTATTATTTTAAACTGATTTTAACTAATTCTTTTTAATAAACATAACCAAATAAAGTCTATTTTATATTTTAAAGTGGAGTATAATTTGAATTGGAGTTATGGAAAAATTTTGACGGAGAGGGGCGAACCCGTAATTTAACATGGATGAAAAGGGAGGGGATGAGTATTTCTTGGCCATTCGCAAAGGAGAGTTGCCGCGTTTTCGCCCTTCGGTTGTCACACATAACAAAAGCACCAAGTCACGAACTCTGAGGAGGCCCGCTATATATGTGTGCCGCAAAATCAATTATAGCAACCCAAATTCTCTTTCTCCCTCTCTTTTCTTTCCGTTTTTCCTGCGAGAATATCAAGATCAAGTATCTCAACACAATGAAGCTCTCTGGCCTCCTCGCGGCCTCGGTTGCCGCAGCCTCCGCCACCGTCGTCTCTGTTTCGGCGACCGCGAAGGTTACTTATCAGGTACCGTTCAGCTTTATCCTAGCTACGCTTCGTAATTTTGGGGGGATTGCCAATTTCTTGGGAGTTTAACCTTGCTTGATTGAGACTGAGTTAATAAAAAAAATTGGGATCTGAGATTTCTGTGCTGGATTAGCCCCTTTTTTGACAATTTCTTCTATCTCTTTGTTAATTTCCTTTAGGGAAATTAATTTGCTACAATCTTGGTTTTGCAGGATGGTTTGGTTGGGAAGGGCCTCAAGGAATCGTCGTCGGTCAGGTCATGTTCCGGTAACAAATTCGCGCCGAGATTTGACGGTTTGCGATTTATTGAGACGTTGGTCACTGCCCACAGATGAATCAAAAGCTTCTGATTATTTTATTTCTCTCGCCTTTTTGTTATCCTCTCTCCGTGGTTTTGGCCTGGAGCTGTCTGCAGAATTTATTCTTGGGCAAAGAGTTCAACTCTTCCAGTTTTCCCAGTATGATTTCTAGAGTGAGAAGAGAGAAATTGTAATATTACGGAATATAAGAAAATGAAAATGAGAAAATGTTTCTGGTTACTTTGTCTGCAGGATTTTGATCTCCTTTTTATCTCAGTATAATCAATCCTTGTTGGTTTTTTTTTTTTTGAAGAAAATTCAAGTTAATTGAGCGCGCCCCCCCCCCCAAAAAAAAAATGCAAAACGTACTGTGTCTAGGTTTAGGCCTGAAGAGAATGATTCGTTTACCCCCACCCCAACCCCGCTTTTTGGTGAATATGAGAGCTCACAACAACTTGGGGGAAAGTGGAAAGCAACTCATGTGGCCAAACGGATATTTGCCTGTAGTCATGAACGGATCCTAGGAGAGCAGAAAGAAATGGTTTTTAATGCAAAAACGATTTAAGTTGAATTATTCATCGAATCATAAATATATAGATATATAGTTATATAACTTAAATTTACGAGCTTATATAATTATTGATGAATTTTACCACGTGGAGAAAATTAATGCTTAACTTCGATGGATTATTAAATGAAAAATGTTGCACCCGGATGAAGGTTTTGTTTTTTGTTTTTTTTTTTGGGTGAAGAAATAGGTTGATTTTTTTCCCCAAATTGTTCATCCCACTCTCTAACTTTATCGTCAAATGTAATGGGTGCGACAGTATATTCTTTTTTGGTGCGGGGTTATGGAATGATGCCACCCAAGTTTGGTGGAGGAAGATAAATACGCAAAGACCCAATTTTTGTGGGGTAAAGCAGAGCGCAGAAAAAGGACATGAAAGGTTGAAGCTTAGAAGGGACGAACCATAATTAGCGCTTTACTCTCTATGCCAAGCAAGGATGCCTGTCCTTATCCCATGGCCTCCATGCTGCGTCAAGCCACCCAAAAGCCATGGAATTTCCTTATCATCCACTTTCTATCCCCTGCCTTTAATCAATGATGCTCACTGCGTTCCCAATTTCAAAGGATAATGATCCTTGTCCTTCACTTTTCACTCTCAGACCATTGACACGATGGCATGAGATTGTGGGCCTTCAATCATTCATCATCCAAAAGCCACCGATCACTGCTACTTCCTATCTTTAGTATAACAGTTGATTGGCTAATTTGAGGCAAAAATTGTAAATACGAAAATTAAAATGAAATTAGATCTTATGTTTAAGATCAAATTAAAGTTTTAATTAGCTCTTATATATTAACAAGTGATACTTTTGTTTTGCATACTCATATGGGTATTTGATTGGTATGGTAGATTTTGTTTCATCATCCAGAGTTGGAAGGCTTAGCGAGTCTAAGGATATTAGTTGTACTACTGCTTGCCCCCTTTGAATCATGTTGCCCGCGTTTCTTCCATCACTGATTAGTAAAGGAGGAATCTCACCCCAAAAAAGAAAAAACATTCAATCTTTAATATAAGAACTAATTAGAAATTTAATTTGGTCATAGATATGAGAGAGTAATTTCAATGAAAATGACTGATAAGGGTATTTTAGAGGACAAAATATTTATTTATTATAAATAATTATCTTAATTAATTTTATTGATATTTGTAAATTTGTTATTTAGTTTTTATACCGTGAAAAAAATTAGTAAACAGATATGACAGGGATCACAGGGGTTGCTTCGCAGTTGGTATAGATGGGTATGAACGATAAAGAAGCCCGGTGTGCGCTCATTTTGGGCTTGTTACCGTGGGCCGTCGGATACATGAAGCGACATATTGGTTTTTGGTCATGAAAATTGAAAATCCCAGTCAACTCTGTGTCTTGGGCTGTTGTGTTGTGCAGAACAACGGGGAGGTTTTTTGTGTCCTCTTTTTCTTTTTCGGCCTGATGCTGATGCATCAATGAGTCTGATGCTTTCTATCTTTTGACAAGTTATATAATATCTAGACGAGGGATAGAATTGTAATATCAGTCATATTAGCTTCTTATAATACAAGAAACCCACCATATGATTTAACTTTTATTTCTTCGTACTAACCTAATATTGATGCGTGACAATTAATGATTTGATGGACTAATTTGACAATTTCACTCGTTCGTGATGGATTCTGCACAACACGTGTATCCACTTTTCAGATAAGCTCCCCGATGCTGAGAACGAATGGGCTAGTAAAACCCCCCCCCCCCCCCCAAAAAAAAATCGGACAGAGATATCTTTTTAGCAAAAGCAATTATGTTATACACATTTTGCATAGAGATTATGGCTTTGGCTGATCACATGGTGAGGAGCTAGTCTCTTACAAACATTATTACTAATTGATAGTTGACATAAATATCAAGTATTAAAAGTCACTATCAAGTCAAGCATGAATAACAAAATATGTAGATGCGAAATGATAATATTATCTGATGAACTTCTTGGTTGCCAGAACTTATCCGTAGGCACCCAGCAAAATGCGAGTCGGGCAAACCTTTTTTGGAGCGTTCATTTTTTATGTACCTTGGGAAGTCAGTATCAACTATTTATCCTTTGAGTGATTCTATTTCTGAAAAAGCATCAAAAAGGCATCGAAGCATAAAACGGACTAACTCTCCATTAACTATGGGTCAAATGCTTCATTAACTTATCTGAGTTAAATATGCTAAAGATCAAAATTACAAGGCAGATTAGTTCCCAACCATGGGTTGAATTACTTAAAAAGACTTGCCATGAATATTGGATTTCATGCTCCCATTCATATTAAAATTGATGATTTGGATGTGAATTCACATTAGATTGTTGCTGATTCGGTCATGTTTTTTTCCCCCCCAGTTTCACAGACACCCCAAAAACCAGGTAATAAACAGATAATAAGTTTCATTCTTAATTTTAGGAAAAAATGTAAAAAAAAAAATCGTGAAAATTGTAAAATCACAAATTATGACTTATTGCAAGACTTGTATAGTTTTTAATAGTAATCGAATGGCAAATGACCACAAATTGTTGACAAAATATTTAATTTACAATCTCTTAATTTTTATTGTCTCTTTCTACAATTTCCCTTGAATTTTATGTTTAAAATCATCAGATAAATTGATTTATTTATTGTTTACGATCGGAATGGATACTAGCGTTCCCCTTTCACTTCATCAACTGGGAAAGTTGCCCGGCCCCACATCAATTAGGACTAGATTCTCAATTTATTATCGGACAAGGGATTAGCTTGGGGTTATGCTATATTGATTTAATAATTCAAATCATTGTCAGGCTGATAAGTGTCAAGTGAGGGGTAAGCCTAAAAAATAAATGTGCTTTGTAAGGCGGCTCACGCTTTGATTTAACTTGAGCGATCAAGAGTGCTCTTGTATTGACGTTTCAAACAACAACCTTTAATTTGATTTAATCACCTTGTTGCAGTTAACTTTTTTTCTTTAATTATAAACAATTATTACCGGCATACAAGACAAGACTGTTGCTCATTAAATAAGCTCATTTAGTGAACCAGAAAACTAATGCTAAAAACTGACAACATGAGAAACAGGTTCAGTGAGCGCAACACAGTAGTTCTCATCTTAATTTATTTTTGGGGCAATATTATCTTTAATTCCTAAAGTTTGACTTCTTTTAAGTTTTAATTCTTGGAATTTAAAACTAATAATTTCATACTCTGAAATTTAATTTTATTTTTATCCATCTAAACATTTTTAATTTTTAAAATAAGGTTTGGAAGACCAAAACTACTAATTTTAAATTTCATGAATCAAAAAATAAGTGAGACTAAATTTCAGCAGAAATTATAAATGAAATTAACACATTATTTTGTTCCTTAGGACTCTTACGTTATGTTTGGTACGCAGCATAAGGGGAGCAGGGCAGGGATTGGGTCAGGAAGCGGAGCAATTATCGGTATTTGGTATGAGGCATTGGTAAAGCCTTGAGATTGCACAATGGCACATAGGTGGGATTGGGCAAATATATCCCTATGTATAATAATTTTCGGACAAGTTTAACCCTCTCACTTTTGTTTTCTTTTTCTCTTCTGCCTTCATCTTCAAACTTACACCGAACAGTTGCAGCAATAGCCTTGAAAAACCCATAAACATTAACATATGAAAATGTATCATGAATCAAAAGAAACTGTATATTATTCCAAAATAAAATTATAGCGCACACAAACACAAGCACACTGGATAATTGACGAGGTAAGCTAAAAAATAAAAACGGAGGAAGTGCGAGTTTAAGTTTCAAAGATCATTTGGAAGAGATGGAAGCGAATCAGACTGGGGAGTGAGATCATTTTGCTTCTTTTTCTGGAGCTTGTGATTTTTGTCTCTCTCTTTTTTAAAATATTTAAAAGGGGTATTATAGTCTTTCCATAATTTATATCTGATTATAAAATAAAATTAATGGAGCCATTCCCTTCAAATATTATCCTGTACCAAACATATTTTTAAAGAGCCCCATTTCCAATCTCATTCCCAATTAAAAGCCCCATTGCCAATCTTATTTCCAATCCCAACTCCTCAAATCCAGTGCTGCATACCAAATATGGCCTTAAAAAGCCATGGAAATAAAGAGGCAGTGACCGGAATCTAAGGGGTGCGTGGAAGTCGGAAGTAAATCCAATCCGAATCCTCAGAAAACAACCCACACGGCGACAAACAAAAAGGGGAGAAACGAAAACATGGATAACATTTGACAAGTGGTTACGACATATTAACAGCCTCCAATATTGCCACTTGTACGCTCAATCTGCCCATTTTATTATGTTCCCTCTAAGCTTAAGAGCCTTGTTTAATTGATTTGCCCAATGAGAAAAGGGAATTGGGGTTCCGTGAACCAGACAATTTTCTTATCCCCATTTTAACATCATCATTATTAACCAATATTTCTTTCTCCTCACTTTTAATACTTTTTAATGAGTATGGTATAACCATAAGGGCATTAGTCATCTACGATAGCTATTTTTGTCTGATTTTTATTTTCAACTGAACTAATTTTAGTTTTGTTATTTGACATCTGATACTAATGGAGTTATATTATGCATACCAATTGCTTGATTTTCCTTCAAGTATAAAAAAGAACTGAGTTTAGTTTTGTTTCGATTTATCTCTTTGATTTTAAAATGTTCATATAAGTATAACCCGATTAACATGGTCAAGCACGATACTCATACCAGTAAAAGAGGTACTTTTATTAAAATAAATACCCCTCCCGCCTTTAATATAAGAATTTAATTATTCAGTTAATCTTATCATAAATATAGAACATATTTTATTATTTTTTATATTTATCAGTTTTTTTTCTAAATTACTCCTATTAATATTTTATCAACCATAATCAAGTATGAATGAGAAGAATGATACTAAAAAAGATAACTATAATATTTTAGAAAAAACATGTCACATTTCTTATAATTAACTCTATGACTATTTTATATAATTCATTATCTTATAAAATATTTTCGTTTTGCCATCATTATCTTAAACAATATCATGCTAAACGACAAACACTGTTTTTATGTTGAAATTTTATTAAGCTTTAACTTATCAAGCATTTCCTCATATAGCTCTATATTATTATTATAAACAAATCAAAACTAATTTAATTTTTTTCCCGAAGATTTGAATTCCAGTTTAAACTCATTACTAAAGAGGCAGCTTGCAATCTGTGGATGCCACGTCAGGATATGTTTATCCGTGTGCGCGTCATTTTCGTTATATATAAAGCTCCGTCCTTTCCCTCTTTCCACTCGTCCTCTGCATTTCTCATTTCTTTCTTTTCGTTCTGCTCACTGCATTTCGTGCTTTCTGGGTTCTGGCCTCTCTTCCTCGCCCCTTCTTTCCAACTGCTGCTTCGGCCATCAAGTCCTTCACTGTTTCTTTTTGTAAGTATCAAATTATTTTCCGCTTTTTCTCTCTTCATTTTCCTGCACTCTCATTAGATTTACTTTTTTTTTTTGAACTTTGTGGAATGATTCTCTGGATTCATCTGGGTGTGTGAAATTTCTATATAGGATTTGTTTTTCTATTCTTATAATCAGAGAGCCTAAAACTGTGCCTTGTTCCCCGCAAAATTCGTACGAGAAGCTTTATACGCGCACACACGCTGAGAACATATAAGTCAGCTACCCCCTCCTCTATTTTCTTTTGCGCGCCTTCCTGTATCGTAATCTGTGGATTCAATGTTCTTCTAATTAGAATTACTTTATCTGAGTCTCGCTTTTGCTTGAGAAGGAAAAAATAGGATCTTTTGTTGATAACGGGTTTTTGTTCAGATCATGAATTCTTAAACCGCTGTTAATCCCTTCTTCTCTAGGGCATTCGTTCTGCATACGATAGTTTTAAATGAATTTTCGTTTGCAGAGTATAAGGGATCTTGGCACTCTTTCTTTCTAATAAATTTCAATTTTTCTGAACTCAGGTATTGCAAATTTCCATACAAAGAAGACTCTGCTGGTCTTTTCACGACCGCTTGGCACAAAGATAAAAGATGCGTTGATTAACCAGACTAATTGATAAATCGTTTTTAATAATTGGTTCAATGAATGGCTTTCGACATTTGGAAATTGTTTTCTTCCATTGTCTCCATAATACATGTTATTTCTTTGGTTTGCTTCCCTAACATCCCAAGTTGTATGTGGTTGAGTCGTCCTACTCCTGTTAGCCAGGTATTGTGAAGCAACCAAATGAAGACAACTCTGACTTGCTACCTAACGTTTTTAATGTTTTCCTTCCAATAAAAACTAACACATTATACACCCTACAAAAAGGGGTTTTGTTTAATAAATGAAGAAGGTAGACTAGTCAAATTTTTTTTTTTTTATACCAGAAGGTAGACTAGTCAATTGAGTCTAGCTATTTTGCAGTGTCATTGGGACCTGCATTGGGTGGTCGTTTGATTTTGATGGACATGCAAATCCTAACCTTGTGTTAAAACAACTTCAAATTTAGTTTGGTGAGTACCTACCACAATAAATGATCGTGCTCAGTTAATATCTCGAAGAAAGAATAAAATATATTGCTTTTTTGTCACGAAAACAACCAATGAGGCTCTAGCTTTCCTCAGGAGGGTGAAAAGGATTAAGGGTTCGAGACGTGTAGGCAAAATTTAGACGGTGACCAACTCATTGTTAATTTGAGTTCTTAGGAGGATTTATAGAAAGTCTTTTCTCAAAGCAATGTCCCATGGTCCTAATCCGAAACTGGGGGGACATATCCATGTATGATTAATTAAACATTTTCCTTTGTTTGTTGAGATCCCCGGTACTTGACATTTGTATGACTAAGCTTGATTCTCACATTGAGTGCTCATACTTTTCAGATTCTGACATTCGAGGGAACGCATTGTGAAACAGAAACCATGGCCTTAGATTTGCAATATGAGGATTTTGCAGCGCAAACTGATGCCTTTGGAGATAAATCTTGTGTGGAAAAGTGGAATTCTGCCCCTGAAGCCATTGCAGACTCTGATAGGGATGCTCCTGGTGACTTCGAATGCAATATCTGCCTGGATTCCTTGCATGATCCAGTATTAACTCTTTGCGGTCATCTCTACTGCTGGCCCTGCATTTACAGGTGGCTCCATTTTGGTAATGTTTCTTCTCAAAACATAGTTCAGGAAAGGACATTCTGCCCAGTATGCAAATCAGAAATCTCTCAATTCTCCCTCGTTCCCGTATATGGATGTGTCCAAATCACAAAACCTTCCAAGGGTAAGTCTCCCAATGTAGGGACTGCCATACCTCCAAGACCTCGCGGTCCCGTGTCAGTTCATGACTTTGCAAGATCATGTAACAGCATAGCTGCAGCTCATGACTCGTCAAGATCATATAATACCGCAAGTGCTTCCCGGCCAGCTACGCAATTTCATCAACGCCCTTATGCTTATCACACTCAACAGTTGAATGCATTTGACACAACACATGGAGTTTTTGGTCAGATGATACATGCGAGAGTCTTTGGTAATCAGTTGACAAACGTGTACACTTCTAATTCATATGGTCTCACGGGGAACAACAATCGGAGGGTGAGAAGGCATTTGATGCTAGTGGATAAATCACTCAGCAGAATCTGTTTTTTCATCTTCTGCTGCACAGCTGTGTGTCTTCTCTTATTCTGATTTCCAGTTGCTGCTTCATTTTTCTGCGTGTTAATACGTCCTTGTAAAGAGAAATATTGGCATGTGAATATAGTCAGATTTTGTACATATGTAAGAAAAGGTACGTATATTAGTGCCGATAAATTATCAAATCGCCTTAAGCTTTAAGCAGTATTTAGTAGTTTTCCTTTTGGTTTCACCAGGCACTAGCCTCACTTTTATCTGCATCAGAAAGAAAGGGATGCGTCTGAAATGACTGTCCTTGAATGATAAGTCTTATCAATTGTGATAAGATTTTGCTTTAGTGCAAAGAATAATAATTAAGGTAGTATATTTTAATTGAAGAGTGAGGGTCCATTTAATCTGGGAAGAATATTTCTAGTACAAAGAAAGTTATCCCAATTAGCGGTGGATGTAATAGCATTAACGCAAACCGTGATATCACTAGAGTTTTGTGTGCGAGGGAAAATGATAGAGATGAGGAGGGTGTGGGGTCGTTGTCTAGCTATGGGATTGGAGGGCACTTGCCTTGTTGGAGATGAGGACATTAATGGTGGGCCTACCATTGCCAGCTGCACACTGTGGAAAGCTACACGGTATCTTTAGCTTTTAGCAGAGAAGCCGTCAATTTATTTTGATGGGTTACATTTTGGCATTAATATCTGATAATGCTTACCTTTCGGAGAGAGACGTTGGCGTCACCAGAAGCGATCTCTGTACCTTAACATACTTTACAATTTCGAGATGATTCCGTTTTCTTATCTTTGTCTGGCTCCTCATGATTTATTCTTTGTTTTTGCCATTCGTCCGTTCTTTGTTTAGTATGGTTTGGTTTGGGCGGACCAGCAGATGATCCAATAAACTTTAGGTTGGGTTTTGCAACAGCAGCTATATAAAGCTGTTCCTGCCTTTCTAGGTTAACCCGAATAAATTTGAAGAAAAGCACGCATTTTAATTTCTGATTATCAAGTGATTGGGAAAATAATTCTGATTAATTTCTGAACCCTACTCCGCTCCACTCGCGCTGTCCGCCTCGCTTGCTGCCTCACTCGTGACTCATCCTCATTCCTCTGGCACCCTCATTCGCGTTGGCCGTCGCCGCTCGTGCTGCTGGGCTTCTCGTTGTCGCCATCGTCGTTTTCCTCAACACCTCACCACAGGTGTGTCTCTCGTTCTTACTCTCGCCGGCGTGAAGCTCTGTTCTTCATTTCTTTTGGAAGGTCACTTCGTTCTCCTCCTTCTCTTCTCCTTCGCCATTTCTCCCCCTCTCTCTATCACCATTTCCGTCGCATTTGTATTGTTTCACCTCGCCTCTCACTCTCTTCTCGATCTAACTGCTTCTCTCTTGGGCTACAATTTGTTCTTTGCCTTTCCTTCAATTGTGTAAATTTGTGCTGAATGATGAATATGGGCCAATTCAATTGCTCATCTTGGACGGTGGGGTATCATATAAAGATTGTAGTTTCGATTGCTCAACTAAAATTCACTGCAAATTTCCTCTTGGCTATGCTTGATGCTTGGAGTTTGTATGTATTGATTGTGATTTGATTTGATACAGCATATCTGGCGTGAAGCAAACAAATGTGCAAACTTCTTTGCAGCTATGCCCTCACCGTGCCTGTCGGTTTTCATATACTCCTCGACGACACACTCGACCTTCTCCGGCGAGTTAAATCATTTTGCATTTAATAACTATGAGGGGATCGCTACTCGGAAACTGTGCTGTTTAGGGTGTAGTGGTCTAATGGATCATTTTTCACGAGCCTTGTGTATTGGTAATTGCTAAATCAAACTAACCAACAAAACCCTCTACATATCTCGATTTTGACGGCCTCTCTTACGCTTAGTTTTGATCTCTCGCACTCTTTTCTCCCTTTTCGTTGCCATCAACTTCGCAATCGCAATTACGTTGTCTTTCAGCTGCCTCTTATCAAGGCAATTTCGGCCAAATCCTATTAAAATTTTTATCAATATATTACGCCATAAAAGGATTTTTTCTCTCACATAAATGACACACTCAATTTGCAGTTGCATGATCCCTATATTCCCTTATTTATTAAATTTTTTTTAAAAAAATGTTCGGGTCCACCCCGCTGAAAGGGGGTTAAATTTTATATTCATATATTATTTATGAAAAAAAAAAAATTATCCCCAAGCAAAAAAAAAAAAAAAACTCTTTAAAAATAATATATGAATATTTGAAGTGTGGGATTTGGCGATGCCATAACCGCAAGCGAAGGATTTTAAGATAAAAGAAAGCGAAGTGCTATAGAATATCATGCTCGTGCACTCTTCCCAGAAAACGAAGGAGAATGAATCCTGTGACAACCTTCGCTAACCCCTCAAAAATACTTCTTTTCAACCTACATTTTCTCTAATTCTTCTTCTTCAATTGTTCCCCTCGTGAATTCCGTCTGGTCTAGCTCGAAAGAAAACTGCTTGTATGATGTTTCTTATTTATCGATAGAAATGAGGGAATCCCTGCTTACTATTTTTTTTTTTCCGATATTTTTTTCGCCGTCTTTGCAGGCAGGATCTGAAAAGACCAGCTGGACCCGATTCGGACTCATCACAGAGTGCTCGTTGCATGCGAGACCATAGCAAGCATTTAATGCTAAGCGACCCGCCCTTGCGGACATATAAATGCCCACAGACTGTAAGTTCCATTCACACGGTTGCTTATCATTATTTCTAATGTCAATGCTTTAAGCTACCCGTAAATATCATGAGGCCTTGATCATCGAATCGCTTAAGTTCGATTCTCTCTCTTTGGATATTGTTATTATTCATTTATATTCGTTGCTGTGTGGGGTTGCTGTTAAGTTTTAAGTTTTTTAGGAGGCAGTGTCTGAATCTAAGAAGACTATTTGTTAGAAATTGGCTATAATCAACATCAAGTTATCAGCTCTTTCTTCATTAATTATGTGCGGCATACTATTTGATTTTCTTCTGCCATTGTTGAATGGTATACTTTTTGCCACTCAACTTTCTTTTGTCAGGTGCTTTCTGTTATATTTTTATTGCTAAATTTAGAATAATGTTGGTTTTACGATCTTCATTTTCTATTAGATTGTAGCATTGATTTTGTACATGAATATGTGGTTGAATTCCTCTTGATTCTTGTAGGAAAAATGGGCTATCACGTGTCGCCCATGCAATGCTCTAATTCCTTTATCAAGAGCAAAATGCTTCTAAATCAATTAATTGAGGACCTCGCTCCCGGCTTTTGAAGTTATTTCCTGCTTGCTTGTTTGGGTTTATTGTTCTCTAGCACAAAAAATGGCAAATCTTCCTCTGTCATTTTCAGTTCAAGCATGCCTTCAGAAACCGAAGGTCATTGAAGCATCTCAGCTAAGTGAGTGTAAAGGTGGAAGTAGATTGTCTAGATTTGAGAAGTCAGATACAGAGAGAAAGTTAGTTTGTAGAGCCCCACAAAGTATAGTTAGTCCTTTTTACCAGAATTTCACTACAAAATTGTGTGCTACACCCCGAGTATCCATTGAGGGAAGTAAAAACCAAGTCACTACGTTTAGTGAAGCTGAAGATTTAAGAAGAGCATTGAGTTATTTGTTTAGGACAGAAAATGGTGGTCTGGTTAAAGTTCATGTTATCAAGAAAAATGTCAAATATTCTGTGCATGTTGAGGTCTCTTCCTTAGAAGTACATGGTGAAGGACTGGTATTGTGTTGGGGTGTGTACAGAGCCAATTCATCACGTTTTGAGGTTCCAGATTTTAAAAGTTCAGCTACGGATACAAAAACAGGGATGAATCTGAGCCCATTCCAACAGTCATTGTCAGGCAACTTTAAAATTGAGTTGGAATTTGATGCAAAACAAGTTCCCTTTTATTTCTCATTTATCCTAAGATCATCATTCAATACTGAGTCAAGTGCATCTGATGTTAGAAGTCATAGAAAAACAAATTTCTGTGTACCAGTCGGTTCTCTTCCAGGGCACCCAGCTCCTCTGGGTCTCTCTTTTTCTCCTGATGGTTCTATGAATTTTGCTATTTTCTCAAGGCAAGCAGAAGGCATGGTTTTATGCTTGTATGATGATACCAATCTTGAGAAACCTGCCTTACGGCTTGATCTAGATCATTATGTCAATCGATCCGGAGACATATGGCATATTGCATTTGAAAGTGCTTGGACATTTGTGAGCTATGGTTATCATCGCAAAGGGGCTCTTGTTGAGCAAAACAAGGATGATAATTTTAATAAGCATGTTCTTCTAGATCCATATGCAAAAGTTATTGGGAATTCTTTTCCTAATGGTTATGAATCGGGTTTAACTACAAAGTTTCTTGGAAGGTTGTGCAAGGAACCTGATTTTGATTGGGGTGATGATTTTCATCCAAATTTACCATTTGAAAAACTAGTGGTCTATAGATTGAATGTTGAGCTCTTTACTCAGCATAAATCTAGCCAACTGCCTACTGGTCTAGCTGGGACCTTTGCTGCTTTGGCCGAGAAGGTGCAGCATTTTAAGGACCTTGGCGTTAATGCAGTTCTTTTGGAGCCAATCCTCTCGTTCGATGAACAAAAAGGACCGTATTTTCCTTGTCACTTCTTTTCCCCAATGCATATTTTTGGACCGTCTGGTGGTCCCATATCTACAATCAACTCTATGAAAGAGATGGTGAAATATTTGCATGCTAATGGGATTGAAGTTCTTATGGAAGTTGCTGTGACCCGTACTGCTGACGTGGGAGCACTGCAAGGAATTGATGACGTGTCCTACTATTATGCAAATGGAGTTGGTGATTCGAAGACTCAAAGTTCCCTGAACTGTAACTATCCTGTAGTGCAACAATTGATTTTGGATAGTCTTCGGCATTGGGTTACTGAATTTCACATCGATGGCTTCAGTTTCATAAATGCCTCACATCTGTTAAGGGGGTTTCATGGAGAACACTTGTCTCGACCTCCATTGGTTGAAGCAATTGCTTTTGATCCATTACTATCCAAGACCAAGATCATCGCAGATTGCTGGGATCCATATGACATGGTTGTTAGGCAAACTCGTTTTCCTCATTGGATGAGATGGGCAGAAATGAATGCTAATTTCTGTAATGGTGTGAGGAATTTTTTGAGAGGTGAAAGTCTTATAAGCGACCTTGCAACTAGACTTTGTGGGAGTGGGGACTTGTTTTCTGACCGACGAGGCCCTGCATTTTCTTTTAATTACGTCTCCAGGAACTTTGGACTTTCCCTTGTCGATTTGGTCAGCTTCAGCAGGGAGGAACTAGCTTCAGAATTAAGTTGGAATTGTGGAGAAGAAGGGCCTACTAATGATAAGTATGTCCTTGAAAGAAGGCTTAAGCAAATCCGTAATTTCCTTTTCATATTGTTTGTGTCATTAGGAGTGCCTGTTCTGAACATGGGAGACGAATGTGGTCTGTCTTGTGGGGGTTCTCCTGCATATGGAGACAGAAAGCCTTTAGATTGGAGTGCTTTGAATTCAGGTTTTGGTAAGCAAATCTCGGAATTCATTTTGTTTCTGACTAGACTTAGAAAAAGGCGAAGCGATATTTTCCAGAGACGAAGCTTCTGGAAGGAAGAAAACATACAATGGCGGGGAAGTGATCTAGCTCCACCAAAATGGAAGGACCCATCCTGCAAGTTTTTGGCCCTGACTTTGAGGGTTGAAAGAGGCTCGCTCCTAGTGAGCTCTGAAACTTCTAATTTACCGGCAGGTGATATATTTGTTGCTTTCAACGCAGCTGATCAATCAGAAACTGTGGTTTTGTCCCCACCGCCAGAGGGGATGTCATGGTGTCGTCTAGTTGATACATCTCTTCCATTTCCTGGGTTTTTCTCATTTAACGGCGAACCTGTTCCTGTCCCTGAGCAGCCCTCCGAGCTGTTTGCTTACGAAGTGAAGTCTCACAGCTGTATTTTGCTTGAGGCAACCTATCTCGATAGCTAAAAATTGTTTTGTTGATTAATAAGTTAATGTTATGACTCCTTTGTAAATAGTCAATAATTTTTTTAATGGTGATTTCCCTGCATTCAAGTGATAACTCATTGTCCTGTCTCCTGGCTCCTCAATGACTATAAATAATAATTAGACCCTGACTCTCGGTGCAATGTATGGGATCCGAGACTGAAAATCAATATTCCGCATATTTTTATTTAAAAACATAAAGAAGAATTTTATGCAGAATATCACGTTTTTCATTTAATTTTTCACTCCAACATCACTCTGTCAAAGCAATATTAAAAAAAAGCTCAATGCATAATAAATATCTAATTTGAGAGGATTATGGATACGCACGTAGAATTAGTAAACAGGCCAACTTGACCTGAATGGGCTAAGCTCATAGATGATTCAGCCTATAAGCCCTGTTTAATTGGCTAAGCAAGTATGCCTCCTATGCTAATACAACTACAAGTATGCATTTATTTTTATTGAAAAAAGGGAGATAATCAAATTAATAGCCTGGCTTACAAACGTGCTGAAACGATTCAAAGATTAAAAAAAAAAAAAAGCAAAATGTGAAAAGACCGCCCAATGAACGAGTAGACATTGAATGAGAATAATTGTAGCCTTTGAGTACAAATGATACCAAGCAACTTTTTGTTTTTTTGAAATGTGAGGTTGTGAGTTTAAACTCTTCAGCCAAAGGTATAATTTGTGCATGAATTATATACTACAAACAAAAAAAAAAAAAAAAAAAGACAAGCAATGAGAATAAAGCAGGCATAAGTATGGATGATGAATGGATCAAGGGATTGATAAGAGTGAAGCAGACCAAGAATGGATGAATCGGTTAATGTTAGGACTTGGGCCAGAGGGTGGAACAGAGCCTTTGGGAAGCATGGCTGCGAGATTGCTTCTGGGTTGATGACCCTCAACCCGCCTTCCTTCTGTCATTGAACATTCCATTATTGCGCAAATAACACTCATCAGAAATACCAACCACTATATCATTCTTGTGCTTTCCTCTGAATTATAATGCCACTTCCCCATTTTGATTGTTGCTTTTCGTCTCCGACCAATCCTTCATTGGTTATATATATATAGATGACCAGAGGAGCTTCACACATGCTTGCCGGCTTTCTTAACTGGGATCTTCGGATTTCGTCATTCTCTTCAATTGGCCAGCAGATTATCTCTTCGAATCAAGATTCAAGTCAACATATACTGTTTTTTTACAGCTGTTCACGTTTTTATCTGCCGGCTGACCCCCCCCCCCAAATTCTTTCATTTTCCACTCACTGATTTTTTTTTTTTTACTTGATTTTGCTTAAGTTTTTAGTCTCCCTGGGTCCGGATAGAGGCGGACTGCGTGTGCCAATTTGGGATCTACTAAAGATGCATTTGTTACACAAGAAGAATTTTTAAGGGAAATGAAAATGTATAAGCCTTCAATGGAAGAAAATGGAATACTGCTATGCTTTTTCTTTGGCCAAATTATGCTTGCTTAGTAAGCATATTTGAATAATGGAATGGAGTAGAATGTTTAATATTTCAAAAGACCAAAAAATGAACTCATTAGTCTTTTTGTCAAAACTTGAAAGGAAACGAAACCCCCAAGTCTTCACCAAAGGGTAAGAAGGGTTCCATCAAAAGAGGACGAGGGGATTCCATTGGCCGTGGGAAGAGCAGCGAACGGAGTCTAATCCAAAGCGCCTTCGCCTTCAACAGCCTCAATTTTTTTTTTTAAAAAAAAACATACATCATTTAGTACATGATAAATTGAAATCAACTAAGAAAGGCTACCTAAGTTTAAATTCTACTCACATTTATAAATAATATAATCAAGTGTAAACATTACTTAAATATTATTGACATAGTAATAATAATATATTCATTACTCCTATGTGTTGCAATCCAGTAGTCAGATAAAAGGGATGGGAATAAATATAAACAAACTTGACCGAGGGTGTGTTTAGTTTTTTCCCGAAATCCTCTCACATACTCTAATCACTTTTAAAATCATGCTTTTGATTTCCAACCACTGAGTTCAAGTCTTATGTTTAAATATGGATTCAGATCTCCGGCGCTGGAGAACTTTATTCAATATGTCATTCACAACATGGATCCAGCATGAAATCAATGTTCTTAATCGTGTTTTCACTGTTTGCTCAGTTTAAGTTCCCCAGTTGTGTCCTCACACTAAAAGCAATATATGAAGGAAATTTCTGAAACAATCCAACATGAAAAAGAAAGGATAGCCAGAAATAAATTACATAAATAAATTCAACATAATCATTAAGATTGTTCAACTACTCGCTTTAAACGAAATTAAACACCACACAAGAACCCTATGATTGAACCAGAAAAAGGAAGGACGAAAACGCAGGCACTCAGAAAGGTGAAAGGTATATCACAAAACCTTTGAGGGAGGGGTGAGGATAAGAAGACAGTTTTTTACATGGAAACCAAAAGTATGATGAGAAAGCTAATGATACAAAAATGGAGAGGAGAGAGGCAAGCCACGGAGGACTCCAATCAACGTTTCATATGCTTGACTTTGTTCCATCCTTTCTTGCATGAATCGCCGACGATCTTCACTCCCTTCTGGAACAAGATCTTGAGGTCCTTGGCCCTCTCCTTCACCTGCTGCTCAAATCCGGCCATATCCTGATTCAGAAATAAGCTTTTTGCAGACGGAAACGAAACGACCGTTTGAAGTGAGCGTTGTCTGCAAATGAAAAGCTGAGAAGGTGCTAGAAGCAGAGAGAAATATGATCAGATATCAGAGATGGTGCGGTTAAGGGGAGTTGCCGAACCTTTTAAAAAGCCAAGAAGAGGCCTCGTGGGATCCAACGCACCATTAGACACGTGGCGCAGATCCAACGGTTGTCCCCTAAGAAAGTTAATCTCGGCCGTTGCTTCTTCACAACGTTGATTGCGGCCGAAGCATCGAGCCCACGTGGTAGATTTGGATTGGCTGAAAATGTATGGGGTCCATTGAACCTTCACAGGCTAATGGTCCCTAATCCTCGCTGCTGGCGGTGACAAGGACCCTTCGGTCTCCACAAAAACTAAACCACGTGCTGCCTCCGTAGTTGCCCTTTTTGTATTTATTATAATATTAACTACATTTTTATTTTAATAGTAATAAATTATAATTAATCACTATATGTTACTACATCCAGTGCTAAATATAAGGTGATGTATAATTTTTCAACATCATTAAATCAAACAGTTTAAAAACGTAAATCATAAGGAAAAAAATGAATGGTATTACAGATGATATTATTTATTATAAATTTATTGAGTATATTAAATTTTTTTGCACTTCACTAGGCACAACTTCCATCGCATTTAAAATCACTTAAAATAAGCTAAAGTGGGACGCTTTCTGAGTTTATCAGATTAATTGTGATGAAGAAGCCAGAACAGGAAGGCATGAAGATGAGTTGGCGAGGTTGATGTGAGAGTTATATAAAATGGGAAACATGATTAAAGGGAGTAGTCAAATGGAGGGGAACAGCTGGAACGGGCATAAAGAAGCAATTTGGAAATGCGAAGACGTTACCAGAAAGTAGGCACAATATTATTGTGGAAAATACGTCAAAGGTACAAAATTTAATGTGCGTTCGCATTCCCACCACAAAATCTTATAATTAGGATTAGAGGTAGAAATTAATAAATGGCCAAAGGAAGTAATAGTTTATTACAGTCACCCAATCTGATTGTTCAATTTACTACTGATTGATGTCAGTTTAAGAAAATCAAAGAAGACCAGGCACGAGGTAGATCTATAATCAGCCGTGCTTTTTAAAACCGGACTGATAATTAAACCTAAATTGGAGAACTGTATATAATCAACCGCATTTTAGTTCTCTTTCTTTCCTTCTTTAGAGGGAAACTGGTTAGGATGAAATGGAGCACCTCAATTCAATATAAAGACAGTTTTTGACAATATATTTGAGAATTCGTGCTTTTAATTACTAATTGAGGTGGGGGCAAGTCAATAATTCTCCGAGAGGCAGAGAGGGAGGATTTGCCCTGACCCAGTTTGGTGAGAAAAGGAAGCTGGGGACAAAATTTAAGCAGAGAAACAGTGATGATAATTGGGTAGGTACATGTCATATAATTATGTTTCCTTAAAGTCACCCATGGCTCGTGATAAAAGTATTTCCTCGTCTGTTTAAATTCAGCAAGGTTCCTTTTCTCAAATATGAGCTCGTATTTGTGATCGTCTCATAACTCGAAAATTGGCACATCCCTTCATTCTTTAACTATATGCAACTCAGCTCTCTTGCATATTACTGTTTTAATTTAATAAATTGAATACAGAACATGGTTCTAAACCTTTAATTAATTAAAAAAACTACTTAATCTATTCATCTTTTTTGACCAGCTACTTAATCTATTCATCTAGACAGGTAACTTCTTTAAGAAGATATTTTTCAATGGCATAATTAATGGTGAATTATGATAGGATGAATAAAAAGATATAAAACCTTTCACCCAAAAAAAAAAAAGAAAGAAAGATATAAAACCGGTGATAGTTGTGTCAAATCAGAAATGAGACAGATAGCTCAAACTTTACTAACAAAAAAAAAAAAAAAAGAAGGTAACATCAGAAGAGGAATTTCAATTGATTACACCAATATTTGAATTTAAACTGTCATCATCGGTTTGGCCCCCACATAAAAAAAAAAAAAACTGTTATTACCCTCCGGTAATTATTATAAGACCCAATTTGACTTTTTATTTGGTCTTAATTATAAGACCCAATCCATTTTCTCTCTTATATTTATGTATTTTTTCCAAGATAATCCTTCTAATAATAATAGTTTTAGCCAATATACTTAATTAGTAAGGATATTTTAGGAATAACAACACTTATTTTATAAATAAAATAAACTTAACTTACTTCCTTAATCTCCTCAAATAAGTCAATTGGGTCTTATAATTAAGACCGGAGGAGTATTAAACATCAAATAACTGCATTAAAAAAAAAAAAAACAACAACAAAGAGCGATGCCATCACACCACCGTGGCTTTGAAATGGAGCATCTTCTCTGGAAAAGCATGAGGACCAAGCTTGCAAACTGACAACACTGATACTTCTCTCAAACAGAAACGAGACATCGTGACCCTTTTCTAGAGCACAATGCAAGACCCTTCGTTCAGGTGAAACTGTGACGCATCTTTTAATCATAGTCTATTTGCTGATAACTGGTCTGGTTTGGAACACTGTCTTCCTCTGTCCATTCGATCCTTTCATATGTGCTTTGTGAAATGAGGGATTAAAAAGGTACACATATATTTGGAACAGGTCTGAACTCAATCATGAGGCTCACTGCCCTATCCATTAAACAAATATTGATCGGGAATCCATACTTCCATGACAAGCAATAAGTGTGGGGACAAATCTCACATTGTTGACGAAATAAGGCATTCAACGATACGAGTACCGGGCACAGGGAAATGCAAAGGAGAAAGAAGAAGAGTTTTTATCACTGGGTCCAATATTTTCGGCCCATAATGTGGGACCCAAATTTTCTATTTACTGGCGCATGGTTTGAAGCCCAAAAAGAAACAAGGAGGAGTAGTCAACTCTGGGCCCAAATTACTTTAAGGGTTGACTGAATTAGAGATTGATCTTCTGAATCTCACTCTTTTGAACACGAAGAAAGCGAAGCCATTGTGTTGACTGATCTTCCTGATAAAAATATGTTCATAAAAAGGGAAGAAACAAAGGTGGAGGCATTGGTGGAGTTCATATATTTTTGTTTGATTTCATGTTTTGCACTCCTTCATATGAATTTCATCAAGCGCCGATAATCAAGGAATATGATTATGCATATGGACACGAAGCCTCTAGGCTTTAGGTCTCCACCTGCAGGAATTCAGGTCCCTTTGCGCAGAACGAATGATTTTGGTGTTTAAAAACGTGGCACTGTTTGCTGCATAAAGTAAGTACATAAAGTTGCATTCAGTGAATATTCAATATAGTTAGAGGACTTGTATTAATTAATTGGAGTATTGATGAGCATGATGGGAAAGTTGCACTGTGATTCTGCCTTAAATTTCTCTACTTCAAAGCCCCCAAAATCTGCACGCACTATGCCTTTGGATTTTATAATTTAGAGGTGTGCAGCCCAAGAACATTCAAGTATCTCAAGCAGGTTTCTTGTCGGCAATTTGTCTGGGGTTTTTGCGTATTGTTTGCTGATAATAAACTTTAGTTGGATCCCTTACCAGTTACCAGAGAGTGCGTGTGTTCGTGTATAAGACAAACTTAGAAATAGAAATTATAACTGTAGTGTCGATTTTTTGGCTAAAAAGATTCCAGAATAGATGACCTCGGATCTATCACAATTCACAAGTTCGCAAATCGCATCGCCAAGAGGCGGGATCTGTGGTAGGCGAAAAACTGTCTTTTATGATAAATTAATAAACAATGTCCTGTGCCTATTGCCCCATCAGTCAGTGCAGGAGATTGATGTGAATATCAGAGTGAGCAATGTAAAAACTAACGAAGAAGGACATTAATGATGAAAACCAGAAAATTAAGAATTTATTGAAGTGGGATTATTAAGAAGACAATTAAGTTGGTGAATGGGCATGTGGTCGCAGTATGATCAATGAAGGAGGAGTAGGTTGATTTTATTATGGGAGAAGCAGATTCCGGTGGGCTTGGCCTATGAATATCAGTTTGTCGTCTCTACATAAAGAATCCTCCACTCTACGTGGTGGCTTAGCCATGTGATAACACCTGAACACCTACATGGATCCCTATCACGTGCCTCCCCCTCCATAATCATAATCACTGTCTATCATCTTCATAACCACAAAGCCTCCAGACATCTTCCAACCTTGTTGTGTTTTTAAACTGCATATTTTGAGTGTGAACTTTATTTGGTACCCCAGTGGCTTAGCCTCCAGGCGAAGAATTCCATGGGTTAAGAGATGAAGGTGCATAGAACTTATTCCTAGCATAGAAAGTTGTCTTGGTGCTATCTCACTCCAGTCCTGAGTGTAAGTTGTGAGAAAGTTTTGGCCCCAAATGCAACTCACTTTTAGTTTATTTGATACTTGTTTTATAATTTTATCATTATTTAATTGTTATTGGAAACTGGAAAGAGAGAAGAAAATGAGAGACATGAGGATGATTTGCAAATATAGAGAGAAAATTTGGACAAGGATAAAATTAAAAAATCTTGATAATTTAATGTATTTTTTAACTTATAAAAATGTGCTATAAATGACTTATATTGAGAATCAGAGTTGTAATCATTAGTTAATTTATTGAATAATTGTCACACATTTTAAAAAACATGATATTATTAATACGCTTTCTAATTTTTTTTGTAAGATATAAATAATCATCTTATATAAATGAAAAATTAATATAGTGAAAATAACTAACAAAGTAAAAGATAAAAATAAAAAATAATACTAAAAAATTTTAAGTTGGCATAGCAATTAAGTCAACACAATCCAGTCCCCTTTCACATTGTCAAGGGAGGGAGAACCCCAATCAAGTCCTCCAGTAAAAAGGCCGCGGAGCCCGCCACACATGGCAGGTTTGGGTTGGTCAGGAATATTTAATTCATTTGCGTTGGAATATTCATTTTTAATACTTTCCCGATCCTTAATATGAAATCTAATTGTTAAGTTGATTTTGGTTCTAGATATAAGACCTATTTATATATTTATCATTTTTTCTTAAATTATTTTTGTGGATACTTCCTCAATCATAATCAAGTAGAAAATGAAGAAAATATATTAAGATTTAAGAAAGATGATTATGGTGTTTTAAAAAAATATATATTCTGTTTTTTATAATTAACTAATTTTCTTAATTTAATCAAATTAGGTAAATAGTTCTTATATTAAAAATTAAAAGAGTAAAAGAAATAAAAATTTTGAGCCGAATCACCATCTGAACTTGGATAAAAACTGCATTTTGTTGGACAAATTACGTTCTCTGTTTTGGTCTGCCTCTATTTGGGTTAAACAGACTTGGTCTGCCTCTTACTGCTAACACACCAGGCCTTAGAAATTCAATGGAAGCATGGTAAAAAACTCATATGACATTAATGGAACAACAATATACTATCTCATGTATAAGACTTTGTTTAATTTTTAGTTTGATTCTAAATATAAGATCTAAATTCACTTTACCTCTTATATTTATTTATTTTTTTCTTAAGATAGTATTTATAATAATGATAGTTCTAGTTAATAAATTTGATTAGTAAGGATATTTTAGAAAAGATAACACCTACTTATTACAAATAATTAATTTAACTTATTTTTTTAATTTACTTAAATTAGTTAATTATTTTTTATATTAAAGACCAGAGGTAGTATATTAGAATATTAGCACTGCACACAAGAAATTAAATATTTTTTGCATGTAATGTTTATTATATGTTTATCATTATAAATAATAATTTTTTTATTAATTAAACCACATTAATCATGTTCATTCATATATTTTATTATTCAGCTTCTCTTTTTACTCTTTCATCATAGCAAAAATAAATGACGTTATTTTGGTTGCGCCCAACAAGAAGGAATGGTAGGAATGGAATGATGACTCATCTCCTTCCAAATCAAATAATTACCCTCACATGAAAATCCAGGCCTCAATCGAGGGTGGGGCTCAGGTCAGTGGCAGCACCAGTAAATAAGTACACAACCAATGACTAATGAAGTCACAGAAATAATTATATAATGTGACCCCTCCTTCCTTTGTATCTATAAATATAAATAAAACACCAAAACCCCTCCATAACGGCCCCTACCCTTCAGTCTCTCTGCCGCCATCAAACTGTCGGCAACGCTCCACCCGCCTCCCAACTGTTTTCCCGTCTTCGGCCCTCGGGGGAGCTCAGTTTAGGCCTTTCAGCTGTGGCACCTCCACGTTATTACGCAATGTACCACCGCCGAAGCTCCTCCGTACAGTTTTTATGCTGCTTCTTTTACTTGGCGTTGAAAGCTTCCCTAGTATGCTCGCAGGAACAGCTCCAGCACCACCGCATCCCACTCCCCGACCTACATTGGTACCCGGGTACCGCCACCTGGTACGGCGACCCCGAAGGCGACGGTAGTACCGGTAAATCCCTTACCCCTCAACCACATTATAGTTAATTTCAAGACACTACGTTTTAGATCATGCTGCTTTAGCTGTATAGCCGGATTTCGTTGATTTTTCATGAGTATATTATGCTTAGAAGTTTTCACTGAGTGAATGAGTTTGTGTGAAGGCGGGGCATGTGGCTACGGTAACTTAGTGGACGTGAAGCCATTGAGAGCAAGGGTAGGGGCAGTGGGGCCGGTACTGTTCAAGAATGGCGAAGGGTGTGGAGCGTGCTATAAAGTGAAGTGCTTGGACGAGAGCATGTGCTCGAGGCGAGCCGTGACGGTGATAATAACGGACGAATGTCCGGGCTGTCCCTCCGACCAAACGCACTTCGACCTCAGTGGTGCTGCCTTTGGGCGTATGGCTATTGCCGGCGAACATGGTCAACTCAGGGACAAGGGTCAAATCCCCGTCATTTACCGACGGTATGTATATTATGCTCTGCTCTGCAGCGCAGACTCTTGACTTTTTTCCCCTAGGTAGAACCGTAATTATTGACAAGTGTCGGTGTCTCTTTTGTCTTTTGACTCGTCTGGTTCCTCTGACCTCAAGGTAATTTGCCTCGGGGGAATTCGTCATATATGAGCATGCCATTGAAATTTCTTTTCCTTCTTTGAGGAATCAAAACTGCAAAAGATCCATTATTAAAAAGGATAGACAGGACTTTTTGACTACTTCATTTATTTTTAATCTCTTTATTGGGATAGTTTTCTTGAAAAGGAAAAAGTCGATCTCTAGTTTCATTACCCTGCTTCCTTGTGTTTGTCACCGCTGAGCACTATATGTTAAATTCATATTGTGACATTTTCAATTTCAAATTTGTAAGAGTGAAAGAAAAGTCTAAATGAATCCTGTCCTTTTGGGATTGTATGCTTGCAGAACACCGTGTAAATATCGAGGGAGAAATATTGCCTTCCAAGTGAATGAAGGTTCTACGCCCTTTTGGCTTTCACTTTTGGTGGAATTTGAAGATGGAGAAGGAGATATAAGCTCTATGCATATTCAAGAAGTAAGCATCTTTCCTCTAATTTCAATAATTATCTGTCTAAGTTTTGCCCCTTATAGTTTTTCATTTACTATCCTATAAAATTATGCACAAGAAACAAAGAGGTTGAAAAGGATAGGAAAGTGTAACAACCCATAAATTCCTGGAGTCTAAGAATCAGATGCCGTTATAACATGTAACTTCTCGCCTTATTTAATTGAACTGCGACACACACACACACACACACACTGCATATTGGGAACTCTGCTTCTCGATAACTCTTGCGGATTTGACCAAAAAGTACTGCTTAAACGTGCACTAAAGCATTATGGATGGGGGAAAAGGCACCTAAGCGTTATGGACATCTACGTATTCTAATGATTAATTAAAACTTAAAAAGGCGATAGCAGGGAGCACTTTTGTGTTTTTAAAAAAATTAACTATAGCAGAGAGCATTTTATTAATTCATGCTGGGGATAGACAAATCCAAATACTGCGGATGTGTCTCCTTAGATCACGTGCAAACTTACCCTGCGACTCAATCCTTCAGTAAAGGAGAACCGCTTAGTAAAAATTGAGATTATGAGGTAATTGTCCTGCTTTTGGCCAAAAAAACAGAGAGGAAATTGTCCTGCTGCTTTTTTCCTGTAGAGCATGTGATCAGGGATCTGTACTGAAAATTCTCGTCCCCAGTTTATATAATCCCTATATTATATGGGTCCTGGATATTGCATAAATACTTCTAACCAAAGCCCCGATCTTGTTATACCTGCAAATTATACAAATCAAGCGATGGGAGTGACTAAATTTCTATTTTGGTGGTTTGTGATTTTGGGAATGACAGGCAGGTTCTGTAGAGTGGCTAGAGATGAATCATCTGTGGGGTGCAAATTGGTGCATCATTGGTGGGCCTTTGAGGGGACCATTTTCTGTGAAACTTAGCACATCCACTGGGAGATCTCTGTCTGCTAGAGATGTCATTCCAAGCAGTTGGTCTCCAAAAGCTACTTACGCATCTCGTCTTAATTTCTACCCTTAGCAGTGTTATAAAGCAGAAGCAAGGACAAGTGCGAACCAAAGGGTTTCACAAGCAAGCAGGGAAATACCTTTTCCATAGTCATAGCTAGCCAAGTTCCATAATGCAAAGGCAGTCTTGTGGGCTTGAGCTTTCTTTCTTTGTTTGCCATTGTTGCTGTTATAGCTTTTCTTCCATTCGGTTTTTTAGTGAGAAAAGCAAGCGTTGGGGTGCGCAAGGGCATCCAATGTTTCTTCTTTTCTTATTTTTAAAAGCAATACTTGCTTTTATAGTGTGCAACTCTTGGTAGTAGATTCATGTAGCCCTCTCCTAAGTGGAGAGAGAGCTTTTAGTAGTAATTAGTAAGCACCCCTTTAGTCTTTACCTTGCGAGGCAAATGTATTGTGACTTGTGATGTGAGTTTGGGTTATTATTAAAATATATGACGTATCCTTCAATTTCATGGACTTACTTGCCTTGTCAATCGAATGATAAAACTAACATTGTGGGTCCCTGTGCCTTTGTTTGCTTTTGCATATCTTAAATCCCATTTGCAAGCTTAATTAATTCAGTTCAATCAAAGGAAAACTAGAGCCACCTAATCGGCCTATCCTGCCATTACTCAAGTTGGTGGATTATGACCAACTAAACAGAAAAAATGCAGAAAGCAATTAAAACTGTGATTGCCCTAGCATATAGATGATGTGGTTCTTCAGGTAACAGACCAATCGTCAATAGCAGCGAAGTTAGAACAAGAAGTGGGTGATTGGCAGCACTTAATAGGATGCCGTATATATTACTTGTACGAGCGTCGATAAACTTGTCGAGGGCTTTTTGACCAAAATACTATGCACAGTAAACAATATTACTCAGATGCTACAGAATCAAATTTATTTGCCTAAATACTACATCCAAACTCGTTCTTTGGAAGATGAAGTTTGGAAAAGTGAAGAACTCCTTCTTTGCAAGAACGAGTTCATCATTTTTTTTTAAATTTTCTTTTTCATGAAAATGGTGCTAGGCTACTCTTGTCACCTATTTAAATTTGTCGATAAACTTGTTGAGTTTTAAGAGGGGTGTGTTTGAGTGATCGATCCACGGATTGTAATGTGAGGTATACGATGGCCGTGGGGATTCAAGCTCAGAGCTTTTTGACCGTATCATCAAACACAAGGAAGCTCACACCAAAATAAATAAATAAATAAAATTAAAAGCACGTGAAAGCTATTTGATATAACTTAAAAAGTCCCAAGCCGCAATCAGGCTGGAGTGAACAGTGACGCGAGAAGTGAAGGATGAGAGGACTGTGACTTGAACCTGAGTGTTTCTGGTAGCTTTGCTAATGGCAGTTCGCTATATCCACATGGGAAATCATGGTGGGTTGATCCTTTCAGATATAGGGTATCTCTAATTGCCCCACCATTATCCATCTATCCATCTCTTTAGATACAGAGTATTTCTGGTAGCTTTGTTTTTCGTTGGTCAATTGACTCATGAAAAATCTTGCTACTCATGGAGAGAACAGTTAGCTTTTCCAGTTTTTCTGTCTTATATATGAAGAAAAACTAAAGAGTAAATAAGAATAATGGATATCTAATGTGTAAACGGCAGGTCAGTAAAGATGCGAATGCTCAATTATCACATTTACTGTACGGCAATATGTAGGTGCATTATAGAAGAGGCGAATCTTATAATATACTACATATATATTGAGTTTCCATTCCTGATTGTTGGCTACATTTACAAAAACACAACCAACTCGGCAGAGCATGTTTTGGCATGAAAGTCAGAAACCTGGTGGTTATGACTGTGATTAGCATTGCAATTTGTTTGCTACCAGACACAATAATTAAACATTGAGACTTTAGGAAGCTGAACAAGTTACGAAACCTCTAACTAATGATATTATAATAGTTACTGATTGGTTCAGTCAAACTGTAATTAATACAAGAGTGAAAAGGGAGAATTATGCCTAAGTAGTTTTAAATACATTTTTAGTTGTAAATTTGCATTGTGTGAGTGATAAAATTGAGAGTCTCCGTAATAATTAATTTATGAATTTCGTTGGTCGTTCATTATAATTCTCCAGAGAAAAAGACACAAGTAAATCTATTTTAACGAGACACAAAAGATGCTTATGTTAGTTCAGCCATATTTATTAAACCCAATTTTAAGGATAAGGTTTACTTAGCAAAAGAAATACTCCCTCCGTTCCTTATTATAAGAGACATTTGATGCTTATGGCATGTTCCCATATATAAGAGACACTTAAAAGTTGTCTCTATTTTTTTGTATTGATTTCCTATTTTATCCCTATTTATTTTGTCTCCAACTCATACTCTCTCTCCCTCCCACTTCTCTTTCTTTTAATAATTTAATTATTCTCTCTCATACTCTCTCCTTATTAATGGGGGTATTGTTAGAAAAAACATTATACTTTTTACACATTAATTATTCTCAACTAATTTTAACTATTTTTTTGATCAACGTAATTTGGTTATTTGTCTCTTATAATAAGGAACGAAGGGAGTAGTGTTATAATGGAATTTGATCATGGGTCCTACCACCACGGTGCGCATCTTGATGAGGCAATTAAAGGAGTGTAAACCCTACATGTCCGCGCGCGCGCGTGGTTCGCACCCGGCCTCGATGGAACAACACTGCGCACAAAGAGACATTTTTCTTCCCAAATTATTCAACATAGCTTCTTTGTTCTTTAGATCTCTGTCTTTTATTTAGTAAAGCTAATTCATCTTATAATTGTATCAGTGATTTTGGGAGTCCAAGAAGATGGAGAAATGAAAACCATAGTATTTAAACGCTGCCGTGTCCTGTGAAAACATTATGAATGATAACGATTAAACAAAAGAACTAATCTTCTTGTTTGCGAGTCAAAGCTCCACATTATAGGATGTTGGGTTCGGCACATTTGCAGTTTCGGTGTCCGCCACAGCCACAAAAGAAAAGCCTCAAAACCTTATCTTTCGAATGCGTCCAGGCTGAAGGCTCCAAGCCCCTTCTTTCGAGTCTTCATTTCCCGCCTAAAAAGAAGCGACAACACAAGGAAAGATTACTTCAACGAAAGGGAAAAGGAAAGTTGAAAAAAAAGCAAAGGGGCATGCCTGTTGGTCTTGGAATAAGCAACAGATTTCCACAGATTTCGGCATACCTGAACTGAGTGTCCCCACAATTTGAAACTCGCATTCCAACAGTTGGAAATGTCAAAAGTTTCTATCTTCATCCACATTAGTTGCAGTTCCGAAAAGGAGGTTCTTTCTTCAGTATATGGTGCTCTGTTAGCCCCAAGAGTTCCCAAAAACAAAAACATGGGGGGAAAAAAAGGGAGGAAAAGATAAGAAAGAAAAAGGATGAAGCATTTCAATTTCAATTGAAATAAAATGGCAACCAACTGGCAAATTTCAATTACAGCCTGTCCTTTGAAGCGTCCGTCAACGATGGAAAGGACACTCGCATAGCTCAGTTAGTTATTTCACTCATTTGCAAGTTTGTTCATGATTCACTACCATTCGGCTAACCCGCAAAACCTGACGAGTCTTTCGTGTAGTCACTTTGTTTTGGACGGGTGACCCATGTATATTGGGCCCATGGCCCATCTTCCGGCAGCCCATTGTATTCATTTATTACCCAAGGCACAGCGGACTATTATGAAAGTATCAAATATCAATGAGGACACATACACTTTTTTTTCAGATAGATCAGACAGATGCACTTGGACCAAAAAAACGAAGGATCAGACAGATGCACAAGCGGCCCACTGGGTTGAAGAAAGTAACCGGGACAAAGTGAAAACTCCCATAGCCTGCCACGCAAACAAAGAATCTATGACGTGGGACTTGTCGGTGTTCCTGCCTAAATCCGTCCGTCTCGCCCAGTTGATCTTCTTCTCTTCCCACTTCATCTAGTCACTTCTGTAACATCTTCATTGAGGAGCTCTGAACTGGGCATTCTGAGAACGCTCAACAAATGGCGGATCGGTTCTTCCCAAATGTGTTGCCCGACTTCGTACCAGAGGCGTCACAAGAGCAACAGGATGCAGTGTCTGTCAGTGCCCAGGATTCACTCACCAAGCTCCTCGCCATGCCTTACGCGCCTCTTTCCGAGCGATTCAAACGCGCCGCTTTAGACGTCAAAGAAACCGTGCTTATTTCTCATCCACCCTCGTCGTTTTTTTCCTTCCGTGCTCTCAATTCTTAGATATCACACCAAGTGTTTGTGGTTTTGTGTCAGATAGCTGTCGAGACTTGGGGTCTGCCCAGGCAAGACGTTCGGGACTTTACCCTCTATTGCGGGGTTCTTGGCACAGCTTTTCTGCTCTACAAATCTTATCAAGTGACGGCCAACAAGAATGATCTCAATCTCTCATCGCAGATTGTCAAGGCTTGCGATTCTGCTTCTCTTGGTTCTAGGTTCTATTAATTCTCTTCCCATGTATTTGGTAACATGTATTTGGGTAGTTACATAGATGGTTAAGGACCGAATGAATGACAGGGATGCAACTTTTATTTGTGGACGTGCTGGAGTATGCGCCCTTGGAGCTGTGGTGGCAAAGCACGTTGGTGATGAGCAGTCCCTGAGGTATTATTTGGCTCAGTTTGAGAAGGTATTCTGTTCGCTTTAAGTGGGAGATTACCAAAATGATCATTATATAGTGGAAGTAGAATCGCTTTCTTTGGAGCTTGGTGAGTGGGGTAGAGCTGAATTGGCAGACTAACTCGTTATGTCGTGCAGATTAAGCTGCCAAACAATCTTCCTGATGAGTTGCTGTATGGGAGAGTTGGTTTTCTCTGGGCATGTTTGTTCTTAAACAAACACCTCGGGCAAGGGACAATCCCTTCCACTTATACTGTGAGCTTAATCCACTAATACTCTCATGCCATCATGTTATGTTACACTAGAATAGGTAAGAGTGGCGTAAAATATCTGAAACATGTTTCAGGCTACGGTTGTGGATGAAATTATTAAAAGAGGAAGAGCATTGGGTAGGAAAGGAAGATGCCCATTGATGTTCGAATGGTATGGGGAAAAGTATTGGGGTGCTGCACATGGTTTGGCGGGGATTATGCATGTCTTGATGGATATGGAGTTGAAGCCGGATGAACTTGAGGATGTCAAGGGCACTCTTAAGTACATGATAAATAATCGCTTTGCGAGTGGAAACTACCCTGCTAGTGAAGAAGATAAAAAACGTGACGTGCTTGTGCACTGGTGCCATGGAGCTCCGGGAATTGCCCTTACTCTCGTTAAAGCAGCCAAGGTAAAGTTTGTTGTCCAGGAATTCAACTCGATTATATATATATATATCATTCCGATCGGATTTTTTTTTTTTTTTTAATCGGGACTAGAAATATCTTTGCTCTTTGGTTTCAACCTTGTATTCTCGCTGGTGTTTATAAACTGAATGACTTTTTCTTGATCTCATTCAAGGTTTCCTTTGATAATATGATGGCAGTAGTGTGGAAAATTTGTGAAATTGTCTGATTTATCGTACGGAGTTTTTAAATGCTTTGTTCGCTTGTTATAAGGGAAGCATATTTTGGAGTGTTGAATATACTGCCTGGTTATTTCATACATACATGACTACTATTAACATTAGGAACGGTCATGTCGAATATAGTACATTAACATATTGGCATATATAAACTGTAATTATTATTATAACTTTAATTATGATTATGGTTTTCTACACGGTTATAGTTAAAGGAACCTCAGGGAGGCCAAGTTTTCTTACTTCTTAGTTGATTAAGATTGCTTGCCCGCTCAAAAAACCACCGCAAGCTGAATATGTGACTAAGGCTAGCTCTCTTTTGCTTCATAAAGCAGGACAAGGTTCCGTTCTTGGTGAGTTGTTTTATATCTGATTATCCGAAGTACTTCTTCTGACCGCATTATGGATATTCTCAGGTTTTTGGAGATAAAGAATTTTTGGATGCAGCTGTGAATGCAGCAGAGGTGGTTTGGAATCGAGGTCTGCTAAGACGAGTAGGGCTCTGCCATGGCATTAGTGGCAATGCATATGTTTTCCTCTCACTCTACCAACTGACCGGAAATGTAGAGTATTTATACAGGGGTAAAGCCTTTGCTTGCTTTTTACTTGACAGAGCTCACAGGCTCATCTCACAAGGCGAAATGCATGGAGGTGATAGGCCATACTCGTTGTTCGAGGGGCTTGGAGGTATGGCATATCTCTTTCTAGATATGGTTGATCCTCGCCAAGCTAAATTTCCAGCTTATGACCTCTGAGAATCCGATATCGTACATAGTATGGGAGCGTGGACTTGCATGTGACTGTTGTATATACCGAGAAACGCAAGTGATAATAAAACTGAGAGCCTTGGGTAGGTGAAACTTCCTATGAAGAGATACGAGCATATTAGCGCTTTCTGATTTTTTTTTTTTGGTTTTTTTTTTTTTTGGGGCCTGCTTATGAGACCTAGGCAACTCCGTTAGGCACAAGCTTACATAAACTGAAGATTGTTACTTTTCACGTAGTACCCTCCCAGTCGGATCTGATAATATTCAGTCAGAGTTATATATATATATGTATATATATGTATATGTATATGTAATACAACCTTCAAGGGGTGTTTGGATAGAAACCAAATTATGGTTTTAGAAGTGTTTTTACGGTTTACGAAGTAAATATGTGAAGAAATTTATCTCGTTTTGCGGAAAAGTGCTTTGAAACCATGGTTTGGATGTTGCCAAACACCCTGGGTCCTTAATATAAGACCTCATTTGATTTTTATTTTGATTTTAAATATAAGATCTCAATCCACTTTGTCTTTAATATTTATGCATTTTTTTCAAAATAGTCCTTTTAACAATAGTAGTTTTAGCTAATACACTTGATTAGTAAGAATATTATAGGAAAGATAACATTTATTTATGATAAATAACTAATTTAATTTTTTTTCTTAATCTCCTCAAATTAGTTAACTAGTTCTCATAATTAGGAACAGAAGTAAAAATTGTTACTTTTGTAAAAGCTAGATGCTAACGCGAAATTTTTAACATATTGTTTTGTCACGTATAACGTTCATTTGTCCTCTATCAAACCGGAGAGCATTTCCATGCTTTTGCACATCTTTTTTTTCATTTTAAATAATATTAACCCTGTTTGGGTCTTTACCATCTTTGGCGTTAATCGTCTTACCCAAAAGCAGAGAAGGGGCGAAGCAATAACAGGTTGCCTGAGTTCAAATTATCAGACAGCGATTACCAAACTGAAAGATAAATGATCAATTAAATTGTGTGCTCTGCATAAAGAGACCAAACATTTCCAGTTGAACTGCATGTCGGGTTTTCTTCGTTGTTCGTTCCGTCGCCATGGGCATAAATCTGAAACAAACTTTATTCCATAGATTTGTACTTTATTACATATGATCCCCATGTGAGGACAGGCTTGCGATACTACTCATACAGCTGGATTGAAACGTTAACCAAAGCACAAGTTGAAAGCAGTAAACTTTTAGCCTCGAGGTAGATAATCAGCTGCTATGCTTGTTGAGGAACTGGATGATGTGGTGGTTCACCTTCTCAGGGAGCTGCTCGTGCACAAAGTGGCTTCCTTCCGGCTCGTATATGACTTCCAAATTTGGCACAAAATGTTTCACTGTCCCGCTTCGGATATAGTCTTCCATGCCTGGAAACTTGAGGACATAATCTTTCTCTCCCACAATCAGCAGTGCTGGACTCGTTACTTTAGGATCAGTTATGCCACAATCCACTGTGAGACTCCTGCACGATCGATCATAAAGCAATGGGGCGCAGCAATTTAGATCATTCGAGCAACAGAGGCCCCTGTCTGTTTATAAGGGACGCTAACTAATGAGAATGTAATCAGTGAATTACCTGTAAGGAACCTGCAAAGCAAATCTGAAACCAGATTTTTCATAAAGTGAGGCATAAGTTGCAAGGTCTTCCTCTGAGAACCAAGGGGGTAAGGGAGTCGAAGGGTCGAACAAGTCCATGATTTCCTGATTATTAGCGGCTATTGGGATGTCGCTTTTAGAGAAGAGTGTGTAGATGTTTCGTATGATGGACTTGACATCAAAGCGGCCAAAGTCTGCTTCTGCCCTCCCAGGCTCCTGAATTCAGTAAACAAGTTGCTTTCAATCCAGGGAGGAAACTGAATATGATAATGATAGCCAAAGAACGAATTTGTACCTGCCACCTAGTGATATAGAAGCCATTAGGGAGAAGGTGGTTCTGGACAGCAGAAGGACCTGGAAGCATGAAAGGGACGCCTAAAGTTACGACACCAATCACTTTTTCTGGGTGCACAACACCTACAAGGTATGCTGGGATAGCTCCGAAGTCCTTGCCCACCAGGAAAGCCTGGTACAAACAAATGAATTTAGCCGTTGGGGATGGAATTTCTGTTGGGTGTTTGGCCTTGGAAAATATCAGTTATATGAAATCCAAAGAGAGAAGCAGTTTTGAGTATCAGCTGGAGCTTAATAAGATCTCAGACTGCTTACCTTGGTGATGGCCAAGGAATCCAGAAGGCCAGCGACTTCATCAACAAGGTCATACAAGGTTGCTTTTTCTGGCTCAGCCGGATGGTCGGAAAGTCCATAGCCTCTAAAGTCAAAGGCAATCGCTCTATAGCCAGCGTTGGCTACAGCAATCATCTGGTGCCGCCATGTATACCATATCTCCGGGAATCCATGCAAGAATACCACTGCCTTGGGACCTGTACCGATAAAGATGATCCATAAACCAAAGTGGGAAGAAACGAATCAACAATATTGTTAGTGTAGTGTAAACCAGCAATAGCCTCATAGTTTTTGAGGGATCTGACCACTTCCAATCTCAGCCACATGCAGCTTCAGTCCCTTCACTTCAACATGACTGTGCTCGATATTTTCCATCGCAGATAATGAGTGAGAGGTGGTGCAGAGTTTGAGATTGAAAGGAAATGGTGGGAGCAGAGGTATCTGAAATCTGTCAAGCCCGTGAGATCTCTTTGTCGAGTTTGGTAGTTTTATAACAACTCAGTCACCAATTTATTGGTCAATAGCAGTGTAAGCACATAGGAAGACTAATGTCTTTTTCTATGCCTTATCCATAAAATAGTAATTGTATGACAATTCAGCCAATTGATGGTATTAAAAAATAGATGAGCATGAAATGGTGCACTATTGTGTTAAATTAAATATTAAGCATTTGATTGATGACTGATGTTTAAAGAATCATGTCTTCCTAAGGAAGCCTCGTGACTTCCTCAACGCACGCGATTCACCGGCAGCATCTACCGATATTTTTAATTTCACCTTCGCGTCTGGTAATTCTATTATCCCTTCGGCAACATCGAACGAATCATCATGGCTCACTTGTATTTTCCATCAAACACATGAAAATTATACCCAGTGAGTTACAAAAGAAGAGACGCCCAGATAGATGTCATTTCACACACACACACACAGAGATCAAATGGCCGATGAGATTGAGCAAATATCAATTATCATAAAAAAAAAAAGAAAAAAAAAACAAAATGGAAAAATAATCCTAATTACTCCTCCGGTCCTAAATATAAAACTCTTGTACATAGTATAAGGGTCTTATATTTAGGACGGGAAGAGCATTTTGCCCTTAATATATACAGGTCCTTCAATAACTTTGAGATTATTCTTCAATAATTTTGAGATTATTCAACGCTTCCAAATGCAGTCAGCTTAGTAAAACACGAGAAAGCTCACAACTTGCTAGCACATCTGATCGTCAAACTATGCCTCTTCGCTTTCTGTAGATGATTATATTGCAATAATCGCAATCTATGAAAAAGTCCTAAACAGAAGCGAACAAAACTGTGATCTTGGTTTTGTGTGCCGCATCAAAATGTGCAATTTTTGATTCGGTGAAGTGTTTGACGGAAGCTTGATGGAAATAAATAGAAGCCACTGAGAAGGAATTACAAAAGAAAGCCCTGATAATTGTTCACTTTAACGTTGATTAATCAATAGGGATAGAGGAGCCCATTTTCAATTATATATACTCTTATGTCACTAAAGACACGAATTCACAATGCAGATTCGAGATTTCTATCGAACCCCTCAGAGGCATGCATTAATTAAAGGTTAAAGAATATAAATAATTGCACCAGGGAAAAGTACACAAAAAGAATACAATTTGTAGTGATCATGCTTCCTTTGGCCTATCATTCTGCGGTCGCCATGTCCGCAAAGTTTTGCCCTGAATTGATCATACCTATGCTGGGACATAACCAGCATTCATATTCTTTCTCCAATGGCAGATTCGTATGAGTTGGAAATGGAGATCAATCAATTTGGACCGTTGAATTGGTTTTATTCTGCACCAGTTGTTCTACATCTCCAAGCTCCATTTCCCTTCCTTGGATGGTCGCCTGTTCATTCTGGAACAGAAGTTCTATCTGCTCCAATGACTTCCCTTTGGTTTCAGGAACTAGCGAGTAAACAAAGACGACGGCAAGGGAAGAAATAGCAGCAAACAGAAAGAATGTTCCGGCAACTGTAATTGCCCGTGAAACAGACAAGAAAGACATGGCCACGAGGCCACTACACACACGATTCCCCACGGCCCCAACTGCTGAAGCTTGGGCTCTCACTCTCAAAGGAAAGATTTCAGACGTCAAAACCCAACACACAGGGCCTAGTCCAACCGAGAAGAAAGCCACATTGGCACAAACAAACAGAATTGCCAAAGCAATTGCCAATGATCCTTGTCCAAACAAAGCAAGAGTAATTCCTATCATCAACAGACTCAACGTCATCCCTATTGTGCTTACGTAGAGCAAGGGCTTCCTACCTAATTTGTCTATGAGAATTATGGCTATCACTATAAAAGCAGTCTTTGTTATTCCTACGGCAACAGTTGCAGCGAGAAGCTTGGAATTATCCTCAATCCCAGCTGCTTTAAAAATTTCAGGGCTATAGTATACAGTTGCATCTATTCCTGAGATCTGCTGGAAACATTGAATCCCAAATCCAGTAATGAGCATCCTCCGTAGTGCAGGGGAAGGAAAAAGTAGTTCCCGCCACACGGGTTGCTTACTAGAATTGGCCAATCCAGCAGCTTGTTGTATTTCTGCAAGCCTTTCCTCTACTTCTTGATCATTATCATTGGTTTTTGACAGCACTGATCTTGCTTCTTCAACTCGGTTCCGCATTACCAGCCACCTTGGTGACTCGGGTATAATGAAAAGTGCAAAGCCAATGAAAACTGAGGGTAGAACTCCCACAGCAAGCATGATCCTCCAATTGATATGTGGTGAAAGGCCGGAAAATGCATAATTTGAGACATAACCAAGCAAGATCCCAAGATTTATGAAAATCTCTGGGAAGGTAGTGAGAGAACCTCTAGTGATGTTTGGTGATATCTCAGCGATGTATATGGGGGCGATCATAACTCCAAATCCTATTCCAACTCCCGCTAAGAGTCTTCCAATCATTAGTACTGCAAATGAAGGAGCTAGAGTCATTATGAGTGCGCCTGTTTGAAATATAATTGCAGCTAAGCCCATTGTCCATTTTCTTCCAATAGCATCTGATGTTCTTCCACCACCTAGACTACCGAGTAGAGAGACTATACTCAGAATACCAACAAGAAATTCTTCCTTTACCTCTGATATCTTCAGATCTTCTTTGATGAATATAACAGCTCCACTCATGACACCCACATCTGCAAATTGACAACATAAACCATGTCAGCTTCCCTCTCTTCAATCCAAATCAGCAACAAAGCTAGACCTCAAAATGACTACTTAACAAATCTTGAAATTCTGTACTTGAACAGGGAAAAACTCACTAGTCTTCTGAACCCAAACTTTGCACTCTCATGGTTATTGGGAAATCGAAATACGTAGGGAAATCAAATAATCTCTCAGCTATAACGAGAAGCTTTAAATTTTTTAAGAACAAGTGAGTTCAAAATGGTAATGAATAGTATAGAGAAAAAAATGATGGTAAATATATTGTTTGAAGAAATTCATTAAAAAGGTTGACACGACCATGTTGAATGATAACATCAACGCGGAAGATGAAGATGATTGCTACAAAGAATAGGCAGAAAGCACACATTTTGGAGAAAGCAAACAAAGGAGAAGAGGGAATGCATGTGGCATACCATAGCCAAGAAGGACATTGTTGAGAGAAGCAAAGACGGCACAGGCAAGAACATATTTCCTGGTACTTTTGCTCCTATGCTCTTGGTGGTATTGGTCCAGGCCATCGTGGTAATCCTCGGTATGGTCAGAGCCCATTCTCCTGTACTTGTTCTTCGCACCCAAGGGGATTCCAGACAACCCCAGTTCCCCATTCCCATGTTCTTGAAATCCCATCTCAGGCTCAGCGAGTTCTGAATTGCTCTGCTTGTTTTCCGATGACGGAGGAGGAGCAGTTGAGACTTGAGATTGAGGTTTTAATTTTGACTCCTACGACATGTCTGAGACTGGCAAACCATGAATTGGGTTTTAGATCTGAAGCCAGAAGAAGAGGACCCCGGAATACAAGCGCAGGACTCGGAAGTCAGAGCTTGGAAAAATAAAACCCCGGTGCAAATTGCATTATTGTATGTGGAATGGGACTATAGGACACATCACAAAGGATTGACTCTCCCGCCTTATCAAAGCTCATTCCACGGATGACCCAAAAAAAGGGCTCATTCCATGGGGCAGCTGCAGTAGGTAGTGACCTTGCCTCTTTAAAATATCCGCCCTCTTGTTTTATTCTACGTATTTATCTCAAATAACAAGATTCAATGACCTTCACGACAAAGAAAGGCATCATCCTTGTCGAGATTCTCAATTTAATTCATCGGTTAGCAAATATTTTTTCTTTTTAAAAAGCATAATTTTATTACTTTCTGGTTTTCTCGATGCTGTGCGCCAGGCGGGTAAATGACAATCGACCTTTTGACCGCATGGGTTGTGTTCAGGTTTGTTTTGTTAAATAGTTCAATTCCTCTTAAATCATAATGCAGCGTGGGGGGGGGGGGGGGGGACAGAGAAAGAGATGAAAATTTAGTAAAAGAAGCATTTTTCATTTCTTCATTAAATGGGGAGTGGCTATATGGTATATACAGGCATGCAAGATCCAGGAGGGGACGCGCACAAACCTGAGCAGTGGAATCTTTATCTTTTGCCCTTTCTTTTCGGCTGTTCTTCACGTTTGCCAACCACGCATCCAACACCGACGATTTTTTTTGTCGTTTAGCCATTTAGCCGTGTTGCCACTCTCTCTAACCTTATTACAATCTATTGACCAAAAAAAAAAAATTATCACAAGCTCCCCATTCTTTTTTTTTCCTCTCCCCTCCAACGCATACGTATTAAGTTAATCATGGTGTCATATTTATAAGCACGCAATAAGATTCCCTCGAATTTATAATATGAATTGTTTACACACTCATTTAATTAAATAAAAGTGAGTGTTGTATCTTGCATATGTCATTTGGGGGGTGCTTGGATAAGATCAAAACCATGGTTTCAAAAGTGCTTTTACGGTATACGAAGCAAATATGTGGAGAAGATTGTCTCGATTTGCGAAAAAGTGCTTCTGAAAAGTGATTTTAAGGGCATCCAAACACTCCCTTAGTTTATGTTAAAAGACAGAGAAGCGGGCGTAATGGTAGCTTTAGGTTGGGGATGGTAACCGGCAAGCAGTGTAGATGACGTTTGTGTTGTTGTGTGGTTGGGAGCTGACCATTGCAGCTGACTCGCGTCACGAATAGGGAAAAACTGAGAACCATACTTGGGCTGGGCCTGAGTGAAAATGTGGGGATTACATTGTAGATGGGCCTAGGCCCAAATCGTTGTGGGACGAGAAGAGGTGAGAGATTGACGAGGTTATGGTGCGCTTGAATTGCCAGCTCCCCCCGGCAACTGCAATTCAGGATTCTTTAACTATTCTCATTCATGTGATTATCACTTTTAAGATCAATTGCTCCTACCTCTTTACCTTTAAGCATTCAACTCCTACCCAATTTCTTTTTTGCCTTGTCTCTTCTCATTACACTCACCTAATTCGTATCAAACTTATATATATTCATATATATATTCCGTCCTTTTTCTGACCTCTCATTTCTTCCACTTCATATTGATTCAAATCATGACATAACCAGAGGTCATTCATTTAAGAGAGAAAATCTTAAACTAGTTTGAATTTCTTAATACAAGTGAGACATCACTTTCTTGAGGACAAGTAAAGAAAGGCAGCTCGAAGATTGAGAGGGAAAAAAAAAGAACAAAAGAATTTCACATACATCCTACTCATTAATGCTCAGCAGAATAATAATACATAGGGCATGAATTAAATTTGTTATGCTTCTATTATATTGTAAATGACGCAGTTGAAGTTCTAGGTTTCAAAATGGATCCATGCATTGATTGAAATAATTCCAGCTCATGATATTGATTTGGATGAAGTGATTGGAGGGAGAACAGAAGCATGACGAATATTTTATTCTTCCAATTCTCATTGTAAATCCTACTTCTCAAATAAAAATAAATTACATATCCACCACCCCCTTCCTTTTATTTATTTATTTATTTCTTCTATTGGGACGAAATTCAATTAAGAAATTTGAGGCCATAATTCTGAGAAGTAATGTATATTTGGCCAAAAAAGAAGGAACTAGAAAACTTTAATCAAACAACTGCTCAGAATTCATCTACTGCAAAAACAAAGAGTTGAGAAGTCACATTGTCGACTTCGTCTGAAGTCATTGTTAAATGGCAAAACCACACCAAATCCTCGTACGAAGAAGAACAGAAACGTCGGATTTGGTCGGATGAGTATCCAATTTAACATTTGATTTTCACTTGCAACGTTGTCCTTCAGTGACCCCCCCAAAAAAAAAAAAAGTACATGGCAGCCGAACCTTGGCATAAAATATTAGGCTTGGTTGAATCGAAGAAACAAACATGAGATGCAAAACTAGGCCGAAAACGGCTACGTCACCGAAGTCCTTAGATATTTTTGGATCCATAATTATGACCTTCATTACGGTTTAAGTTTAATTAATCACATGATTATGAATCAACATCGTTATCGTGCCGTCGCGACTAAGAAATGTTGATGATGATCTCATGGGCCGGTGAATGGGCCCACCTCCATTCATCACACCTTCAAATTTTTAATTATTATTTCCCAAATAATTAATGCGTAAAGTCTGCTTATTAATTTTGTCCTTATCTGTAACTCGGCCTCCTTTCTCTCGCGGGGTCGACAATTCCTGTACACCAGATTTGGTGGGATTCTTCGCTCTTGTAATTACCAAGTTTGGTTATTATTACCACAGTGCTTCAGCGTTAAAACTGTTCCTGCTTGACTCTTTAGCGGTCAATCACGTTGCATCAATTAAAAATCGTGGATTTAGGCTCTGTTTGGATAGCACCCCAAACCATGGTTTGGGGACCCAAACCATGGTTTGGGGAAAATGTTACCCAAACAACCTCTCCAAAAACCAAAACCATGGTTTTGGGTCAAAACCATGGTTTTGACTCCAAAACCATGGTTTTGGAAAAAGTAAAAATTTTTTACTTTTGGAGAAAAAAGGGAGAGTGTGAGGGCCTATATGATATGTATCTTGTTATTTTTTTTATAAACATATTTTTTTATAAATATATTTAATCTTATATTTTATAAATATATATAGACATTAATTATTTATTAATTATATTATCTTATGTATTATTAATTATGTTGGTAAAAAACATATTATTAACAATTTTATTTCTTCAAATTAAAATATATCATAAAATCTATTTTTTCTGTAATTATCATATTAACTTATGTCTTTTTTTTAGTAATTTGTATATATAAAAAGTGCTTCTGATAACAACTATCCAAACACTCTCACTTCTCAGAATCACTTTTTTACAAAATCTATTCTTCACAGAATCTATTTTTTCCAGAATCTATTCTCCAGAATCACTTTTCCAAACCACGGTTTGGTTTCATCCAAACACACCCTTAGTGGCTTTGAAAAAACATATGTATATAGTTTTAGTTTCCTCTCAATTTTAGTCAACAATAATGTTTGTTAAAAATTAATGCTCCAAAGCTGTCTATTTTTAAAGAAATATTAGTTGGAAGATTTTTTTTATTTTAAATTATATAATTATTAAAACAAAATGGTCTAAATTATATTAAAAAATTTAAATTAAATCTGGACCATTTATTTGAATAGCCTAAATTAAGATGGGGCCGTAGTGATCGCTCCCGCCTTATAGCGCAACGCGTGGGTACAAATGCAAATCCAACATTTCAACTCATTACATTTTGTGCTCAGGCTGAGGTGGCAAAAAAACAAAAGGCAATTAAGACTTGCGCCAAAACTTGTCTGTGGTAAAATCTTTGGAGAATTGCTAATTTCTTTATCATTTTCCAAGGCATGGTGGATACGTCAACTAAGCGGGTCAATTATTCAACTGATAAAATATTTTGTAATTAATATCAATATTAATTATCATACAGTATGCAATTTTTATGACCCTGCCCGGGGAATAAGTCATAAACATTATGTTAACACGGTTCCGGATTTTGTTTCGGGAAGATATATAAATAAAAGATAATATTTACATCAAGTTTTTTATATTTATTATGTTAAGTTTTCTAATTATACGTGATCAGGTGTTGTGTTTTTTAATATTAGCGTTTAATAACATTTAATTATAAATTCACACGAAATAAAAAAATAAACATATAACTATGTATGATTAGAAAATTTGATATAACTGATATAAAAAACTTGACCTAAATTTTTTTCATCAATCAAAACTTCTTAAGAGAGTATTTCCTCTCATTGCGGAATTTCTCATTAATTACCATCCCCGTAACTTGTGGAGAACGCATTCAAAATTGAAACTTCTCAAGTGTGTTGTTTACAAAGCGGGTCAATTATTCAACTAATAAAATATTTTGTAATCAATATCAATATTGATTGTCGTACAGTATAAAATTTTTATGACTGTACCGTGGGGATAATTCAAAAGCATGATATGTTAACACAGTTCGGGATTTTGTTTGGGAAAGATATATAAATAAAAGACAATACTTACATTAAATTTTTATATTTATTATGTCAAATTTTACAATGACATATAATTATATGTCATATTTTTAAAATATTAACATTTAATAGTACTTAATTACAAATTCATAGGAAATAAAATAAAGGACATATAGTCATGTATTATGAGAGAACATAATATAATCAATATAAGAAGAAACTTGACCAAATTTTTTTTTTATAAATAAAAACTTCTCAAGGGGGTATTTCCTCTCATTGCGGACTGTCTTATTAATTACCATCCTCGTGACTTTTGGAGAATGGATTGAAAACAGAAATTTCTCAAGTCTGTTGTCTACAAAGTTATTGTATTTTTTCAAGAAATAAAATTACCTTTTGAATTAATCGAACATAACTAAGTTATTGAGAGAAGACATTATTATTACTCTTCTGATTCTTAATATAAGACCTAATTGTTCAGTTGATTTTAGTCTTAAATATAAGACCTATTTCTCATATTTATCAATTTTTTTTAAATTA